TTGCTAATCGCTCGTAAACCGACAGTAATCCGTGGACCCAATATTTATGTTAATAAGGCACAACTTTAAGAGAATTTAAAGCATATAATAAATAATAAAGGCAATGTTGCGTTGTTAAAAAATGTCATTTTTTTTAGAAAATCGTCAAAATGGTTGTAATTCATATTTAAAATTTCCGAAACGCCTGCGCATAGAAAAAACTGAGTGAATATGAGAGCACAAATAGAATAACAGTTGAATATAATGTTTTAATGAAGTTTACATTTAACTATCCCTTAAGAATTAGTGTAATTCCAGGTATGGCGCCTTGTCAACAGCCTACATGCTAAGTATAGATGCCGAAACAGTTTCCCGAGGATTCGTGGCATCCTTTAGTTTTTTTTTTAATTAATTGAGATGCGGCTCAATATGAAAAGCAAGGTTTTGCTCGATTTCGCCCACATGGACATAATAGGAACAAATGTTTTCATAAGGTCAGGTGTTGCCGTTTCGATTATAGCCAAATAATGTTAAATTGAATTGGCATGTGTAATCGTAAGCATGCCATTTTGTGTTTATAAGAGAATATTTCTTCCGTTAAATTAATTTGTACTTTTCGTTCGTTCAGGATTACGTCGAGTTTCAGATCGGCCTTGAAGTATGGATGAATATTTTACGATTTTCAGTGTTTTCATCCGATCGTCCATAGGGGAAGATTATGTATTATGCGTCTGTTAAAACTTTAAAATATAGTACTTCTTGGAGGCATTTACCGAAGTAGCGAGTGGTTGGGCTTTCTTTTTCATTTAGAACGTCATCTGACGTCCACAACGAAAGTCAACAACGAATATGCCTTAGATCAATCAGAAAACTTTCCCTAATAAATTACCTCTTTGAGGAGTGCTTTGATACTGCATTACTTTGACGGATGTCCGAGTACTTTAATTTTTTACAGAATGAGGCCAAGAAAAAAATTGGCACTTTCGTCGGTTTCTTTCACTTTGCTAAAAGATACTGATATTTTTCGACCACGAACGCAAGAACACGCAAACTTCTTTATATTGCGGTCATTTGAATTGCTTTTGCTCAAAGCTAGACTCCGTTCTACTATTATAAATGCACGGAAGAGTGGCTATATATACGCTGATATCTTGTTGAAGCTGGTAACTTTTTGTTCGTTCCATTTCTGAATTAGGCATGTGCAGAAGCTGGACTGCACAAAATGTAATATTTAATATGTTCAAAGCTAAAAATGAAAGTTCGGCGGTGGTCGTTCCTGTCACAACACGCAGGACTTTCCAAACGACAAGACAATTTTAGTCCATTTAAATGAATATTGCCTGCGGGCGTTATTACTGCACTGTTGGGTACAAAATCGCACAGATCTGCTGATCCGGATTCTATAAATCGACAAAACATTTGGTTCACTTAAAAAGCATTGGTTTGAGAAAGTTGCTTACCACGGTTCCCATCGGACAAAAAATCAATTTGCAAGTCCGGCAACCTCTATTTCTTAAAACTCCCTGGAGGAAATTACTCTACTTCCAAGGAAAAAACCGCTCAGATAGTCAACCGAAGTCTTAAGCAGATATTAACGTAGGAAAATGCCCAAGTATACTGCGACATCCATTTTCGACCAAATTTATGAACATTTTGCTTGGAAAAATTACGTGGACGCTATTTCTGCACAGGATGAGGATATTTTCTAAAGGTAGCTGAGCGGGAAAGCAAAATGCGCAGCGTTTAAATCGTCCTAAATCGTCACATCAGATTCTGTCACCAGGATTCATGAGATAGGTCACGTCCTGTATATAGTTTTATATGTGAGGTTGAGAGCGTAAACCAAAGGATTTTTTTTTCAAAAGACCATCAAATGGCCTGCGAGTGTTTGGATTAGCAATGGTTAAATTTCACTGCAGGCAGAACATTAGCAAAAGAATTAATTATTGACGTTTCATCGGGTTTTGCACCAGATTCGGGAGCAACGACGGACGCATTGTCGACAGCCATCAGTACAATGCCTGGTGTCTTTGTTCAGGACTCCGTTGCATCAAGGTCATTCACACTGTCAGCGGGCGGTTCCAGAAACCCTGACCTCACAGTCGGGCCGACCGAAACACAGACGCACGCGCGCATTCCGACGGCCACAGCTCTCCATGCCAGGCCTGAGGTTGTCGCTGCTGGGCTAATGCAGTAAAAGCATAACTTTAAAACAAGAAACTTTGAAATGCTCCCACAAACGGTTAAAAACTGTCGAGATCATTTGCCTCCCTCTCTCTCTGGCATGATTTAACACCACCAACACACGCACTGGTCTGGCGTGCGGTCACTGAGTCAGTCAGTCAGTCCGTGTATTTGAGGGAAATAGGCTTACGCCTTTGAACTCTCTTTTTGTACATAAGAAATCGATTAATTAGCAGAATGTGAAGAAATTACAGCAGTAAGTGTATGCAGGAATTGATTCACATATGTCACTGGTCTCATGGCTAAAAATTCAAATAGTCCGCTTGTTGCTGTAGCATATGCCTGTCAAGCCGACATTTAAATGTCGCCACAGATTGAGACATGACAACCGTCTCGGGCAGATTATTTCACGGTTGCACGACACGGTTGGAGAAGAAATATTTTCTTACATTCAATCTACCCTGGGGCACACGTAGCTTTAAGGGATGTCCCCGGAGGTTAGTTGTTGTGGCGAGTTGGGAAAAGTCATCGCACCGAAGGGCGCAGTCCAAGCCACGCACGATACGGAAAGTTTGTATCATGTCTCCGCGCAACTGCCTATAATTCAGAGGATAGAGATTATGGTTAGTTAAGCGGATCTCGTATGGCAGTGCACTTTGACCTCTTACTAATTTTGTGGCTTGCCTCTGCACCCTTTCGAGCAGATCGTAATCCTTATGCGTCCACGGTCTCCAGGCCTGAATTGCATATTCGAGATGGGGCCTTATAAACATGCCGAAGACTTTGGTGAAGCAGCCTTCATCGAAAACCACGAATTCCCGCTTGATGGCATATAGCATTGAGGTTGCGGCCTTGGCCGCCTTACAGCATTGTGAAGAAGGCTTTAGGCTGTCTGCAACCTAAACTCCGATATCTTTCTGCGTTTTTGCTTCTCGGAGTGGCATTCCGTTCAGATGGTATTGCCGCGTACTAGGCGTCTGATTTCCGAGGCGCAGTATGGTACATTTGGTCAAATTGAAGGACAAGAGCCATCTACGGGACCACTCGTCCAATCGACAAAGAATTTATTTGAAGTTGGTCTCATGAAACAGCAACTCCGTGTTCTGCACTCTCTCGTTCTACTCCTCCTCCTTCCAGACCTGGACTCAGTGTCAAGACAGTATTAAGAAGACCGAAATCGAGAGAGGACAGAGGCATCGGGGGCGGCACAAAACCGCACCTTGGCGTACTCCCACACCCCTGGTTCACAAAAACATTAGACGAAGATTTTTAACAACAACACGAAATTGGGAAGGCCCGCAGTGGTCCCAATTGACACGGCGTGTGCTGGCAACCGAGCCTGCCACCATACCTCAATGCCAACATTTGTTATGGGTACGCATTCCCGATTACGCCTGCCGGAGTCCGATTTGGCTCCCGTTTTGGTTTATCGCGTGGCCCGTTTTAGGGGCTAAACCCACACACACGCATGCTATGAAGGCACTCGGGAGTGGCAGAGCCTATGACAAATATCGTAGCCTACATGCGACCCCAACTTCTGCGAGTTTAAACAGTAGGCAGGAGTTAACACCCATGATGCATTTAGCGCGTACACTGAATACACCTCTTCCCCACAGTGTGCATTCAAGTAGCATATGCTGTCAAGCAATAATACAGTAGGTGAGCTAAATCACGAAATGTCAACCGAAATTCCGAAATGCATTTTCGTTTCAAAAAGGTTAATCAAGTAGGGTTGTAGAACTAATCACCGGACAGCATAATTCTATAACAATTCAGTTACCTCAGGATGTCGGCTTTCGATGAACTTCTTTCCGGCTGGATACAAAATTCAAACCCTGTGAAAATGACTACTTAAGTGGCGTGCATTTTTCTCGTTGATTTTCGATGCCCCTAAATGTCCAGTTATATTTAATGGAAAACATGCATAGAAATATTCATCCTTTTACTCATTCGGTGGGAAATTACGGCTTCTTCCAATATGTACTGGAAGGAAGGATATTCTTTGGTTTTCAAAAAATTTTCCAATTCCCAAATTATTTTGAACCCGACCTGCCGTTACACCAGCATTCAAGGCTTCCAAACTACAAGCCGTATATTTTCCGCTTACGGAAAGCCATACATTTCTCTATGGTATTAAGAGGAAACTAGATGTGTTTCATAAAATCAAGCAATGGATTTGAGACATATTGTTAACTTTACAAGCCACATTGGTAAATGCTGAGACGTGATGTTTTATGGACGGTCATTTCACGATATTAAGAAATCTTACAATTATAAAATCTTTTAAAACCGCATTATACCCTTTCTTCGGGTATAAAATAGGAAGAAGACGTCATTTTTTACCGAATGAGTAAGTGGATGAATATTTTTATGCATGGTTTCTGTAAAGTATAATTGAATTTTTAAGACCATCGAAAATCGATGAGAAAAATTTCATGCGCTTTACGTAGTCTTTTTTTACAGACTTTGGTTTTTGTATGTGACCGGAAAGACGTTCTTTCGAAAGCGATCCCAATTGACGCCTGCCACTATACCCCAATGCCGGTGTTTGTTATGTGCGCGTTTTCCCAAAAACGTCTGCTGGACACGGATCTGGTCCGCATGACTTCTTTGTCTACCTTTTGTCAGACGAACTGTTATGAGCCACAGAATAGCGTTAACGACGAAAACAGGGGGGTCTGGAGTGGCCATTGCTGGCGTGTTAGGCGTTTTCAGCCAGCCATACTGAACCCCCAGGTATGCAAACCCAGGGACTCGATCACGCAACCTGTTGGTTAGGAGTCAAACGCACTAACCATTGAACCACGGGCTCGTTACACTGTCGGTTGCGATCGGGTATGCACAATGGTCGACGGGTGCTCAGTCATCGCGCTACGGAACTCACTCGTTCCGTTGTGCCTTGGGGTCACACCCCACCTATTAAGGTAAGACGTGAAGGTAAATTTCTGAAAAATTACCCGAGAGGGTTACACCCGCTATCCTTACCCAGATGTCCCTTAAGAAACATAAGGGAATCTGCTTTCCCTTATGATTTCGAAAATGCGCTGTGATTGGAGAACTTGTTGGGCAGTCCCGTTTAGCAATGAGCATTTGTCTGCATTCCAGATCTATGAATAATGCACAGTTCCTATACCCAGGAACATTTTTGGAAATGATCAATTTCTGTGAGAAAAGAACGCTCGAAATTAAATAACCTCAGTGGATGGAGATGGAGCAACATTTACCGTTCAGCTAGTGGCGTAACCTACAGCAAATAAATGCTGGTTAATTGGCTAACAGAGGAAACGTTTGAAGGTTCATACTTTGAGCCAATGGCAGGTTGCTACTTTGCGTACGATGGCGTTCATATATTCACGTAGAGCACTAGCGATCCCGACGCTACTAAATGCGCATAAACAAAGAAGGAACATCTTGAGGGTTTTGAGGTATCATGCATTTTCAGGCAGTTTATGGCGGGTTAAAATATTACTACTTGTGGAACCCAAATTCTAACAAGTGGCCCTAACCTGGGGACCAGGATATAAGAGCTGAAATCAGGACCCTAGCGTCAGATGTAAGTCCTTCGTTTAAAGCAAACATACAATAAGGGTTTCGCTGTAGATCATTCTAATGTACAAGAGACAGGGTAATTATCAATCGGGAAATTTATGGATCTTAACTACAGTTATACTGACTTTGGGGATCTGCGGCTGGGTAGCCCTTCGTAGCGTATTTACCTAGTGTGAGGAACGTCTCGGAAGCCGTCCGCCAGCTCCTCACACCTCTCGGAGTTGGAGTTGCACACACGCCAGAGGTAACCACCATGCGCCAGGCCGAAAGCATCACTGCAACGGCAGGAAACCTCTGGAGTCGTTTACCGAATCTGGTGCTGATGCGGACAAAGTAAATAGTTCTGAGAATCTGGAAGACTACTCTCGAACGCGAATGGTCGGACACGCAGCAGCAGCAGCAGCAGCAGCAGCAGCAGCAGCAGCAGCAGCAGCAGCAGCAGCAGCAGCAGCAGCAGCAGCAGCAGCAGCAGCAGCAGCAGCAGCAGCAGCAGCAGCAGCAGCAGCAGCAGCAGCAGCAGCAGCAGCAGCAGCAGCAGCAGCAGCAACAACAGCAACAGCAGCAGCAGCAGCAGCAGCGGCAGCAGCAGCAGCGGCAGCAGCAGCAGTGAGGAGTAATGACGCCAACTCCCAAGGCGTGACTCATTCGACGGGGTCCGGCCACGCCTTCAAGTTTGATTAGGCCGAAATTCTCGCAGGAGGTGATAACCACGTGAGCTGTATGAGTCATGGTTCCCCGGCCCGCATTCAATTGGCAAGTGCCATAAACTTCCGCCTCCATATCACGTGCTACGATTTGACCTAGACGGAATCACTAGCCGCACGGGGGGGGGAGGAAGGTGTGGGTGACCAGTAGTCACGGTGACAGTCGGTCAAACGACCGATTGATCGTCATGCCAAGAATCGACGACGGAGATGCAGCCACCGTAATAAATGATCTGGGTAGCGACCGACAGGCAGACATCGAATCAACCAGCGATGAACATGAGTACTGTCAAATACAGTAGACACATGATGGCTTGGCAACCGGGCCCTATAAATACTGCTCACCTTGCTCCTCTATTACCATTTTCTGTGACTGCCTCTGATGATGGGTTCGAGAGGGAATCCGAAACGTCAGGCCAATACACTTCTTGTTCTAGTGATCGCACCTTCGTCTTCTTCCTCTGAACAGTTTCTTGGGACTCGCCTGTTCGCTTAAATCAACAAAAGACGCTTCCGTAGCGCAGTCATAATTCTACCCGAGTCACATAACGGGGACCGATTCGGTTTACCAATGTCACCAAAAGTGGAACTGTTATTCACAGACCTCTATCGTCGAAAGGAGGAAGGCAGTGAGCCGTTCAGAATTAGGGCGGTTTCACAGGTTCACAAATGTGTGCGAAAATTTGCGTGTCGAAGGCACATTTGACAGTTCGAGCGTCGATTCCGACGATGTCCATCGTGTGCTACACAGCAAGTGCGGCATGCACGGTGACTTGCGCGTGATCTACAGTGCGTGACCTATCTCATGAAATGCTGGCTGAAATTCTCAGATACGTTTTCGATTAGGAAGGATTACTTGGTGGCGGTTGTGATACTGATTATCATAAGGTATACTTTTATAACATTTCGGACTCGGCAGGATGTTGGCTTTTAAATGCACTTCTTTTCAATCTCCTGTAGAAAGCGTGCTTGGTAAAAAATGACTACTTAAGTAGCATTCATTTTTCCCATTGATTTTCGATGGCCTTGGAAATTCAAATATATTTTATAGAAACCACGAACAAAAATGTGCTTTCTTTTAGTCAGTCAATAGAGAATCACGTCTTCTCTATATTTTATGCTTAAGGAAGGAGTATTATTAGGTTTTAAAAAAGTTTTCTAATTGCCGAATAATTTGGAGCCTGATTATTCGTTGCATTAGCGCTTAGTGATTACAATCTACAAGTTGCATGCGTTCCGCGTAAAGAAAATCCCATATTTTTCTATGTCATTATAAAGATATTATACAGGGTCCATAAAATGTTGCAATGGATGCGGACCATGTTGTACATTTCATGAGGAGCAGTGGTAAACGGCCAGGTACGATGATATGTGGATGGACATTTCGCGGTGTTAAAAAGTCTTATAATTAGAAACTTTTTTAAAACCTAATTATACTCCTTCCTTAAGTATAAAATATAAAGAAGACGTGATTCTCTATTGATTGCCTAAAAGAAAGCACATTTTTGTTTGTGGTTTCTATAAAATATATTTGCATTTCCAAGACCATCGAAAATCAATGGGAAAAATGAATGCTACTTAAGTAGTCATTTTTTACCGAGAACGCTTTCTATAGGAGATTGAAAAGAAGTGCTTTTTAAAGCCGACATCCTGCCAAGTGCGAAATGTTATAAGAGTATGCCACAAGATAATCAGTATCACAACTGCGACCAAGTAATCCTTCCTATTCGAAAACGCATTTCAGAATTTCAGCCAACATTTCATGAGATAGGTCACGCACTGTAGTTTATAGTGATAGTAGAGTTGCGGTGCATCTACTGCACTCTCTCATCCTCCCCACCTGGATCCGTTGTCAAGACGTGTAAAAGGTGTATGGGCAGTTGTGTGAGATTTAACCGACCATTTTATGATCTAGCTACGCGATTTTGGTAACAAAAAAGTGAAATACAGAAGACTTATTCGTACGCCGGTTGTTTACTAGAAATTTTAATCTGCCAGCTCCTTCTTTTCTGGGGTTAATAATTGTAATTTTGATCAGCGGAAGCTGAAGGGCCGTCCAGCTTTGCGATCAGTGGCTGCGAGTTTCAAACTGTTTTTTTCTTTAAAACAGAAATATATTCCAGACGTTGCAGTAGGTTTGGCGGGTAACTTAACCCAAATGTGATTTAGATTCCGTCTCACAGTGGGGCCTCGTAGCTCAGGTGGCTAGAGCATTGGCTGTACTAAAGCCTTCCCCCTGCCGTCTTGTGTTCGAATCCCACCTAGGCGTCGGGATTTTCACAGATGGGTCAGTCTGAAGAAATATATTAGTTACGTGCAGAGGAAGTTTCCTTTTAAATATAATTACCACCTGGATAGTAAAAGAATTTTCGGCGAGGTTCGGTTCTGCAGCCCTCCTTGACTGATGCTATACGGTTAGCTTACTAAAACAGTTTTAGTTAGCATACCAATCTTAGTCACTCGCTAGTCCATGAAGAGGAAGAGAGTACAAACAGCGTTCAAAGCATGTTCTGGGAAGCGCGTGTGAACTGATGCTTGGTGCAACCGAGGATGGCGTGTACACGAGAGTCCGACCGTCCGTTTCGACGATGCCCACCGTGTGCTCCACAGCAAGGCGGAGCAGGGGCGGTGACTTGTGCGTGAGTTAGTTTATAGTGATAGTAGACTTGCACGACATCAATCGCACTCTCCCTCTTCCCACTCCCCATCTGGACCCGGTGTCAAGACAGAGTCAAGAAGACCGGAGGTGGGTGCAGGTGGCTGGCACGACCGGAGCCGCACCTAGGCGTGCTACCACATCCCCTGGTCTACAACACACGCTTGACCAACAACAACAACGCCCCAACAGGGGTCAGAAGGGGGGCTAACTCATGAAATGTCAACAGAAATTCCGCAATGCGTTTTCGTTTCGGGCAGATTAATTGAGTAGGCTTGTAAAACTAGCCAGCCTGCAACATAATTCTATAACAATTCAGTTACCCCAGGACGCCGGCTTTCGAATAAGCGTCTTTCCGGCTGCATCTAAAAACCATACTCTGTAAAAAATGATTACTTAATTAGCATGAATTTTTTTCCTTAATTTTCGATGCCCTTAGGCAATCAATTATATTTCTTGGAAAACATGCACAAAAATATTCACTCTGTTGCTCATTTAATGGAAAATTACTTCTTCTAATTTTGTACTCAAAGGATGGGTATGATTCGGTTTTAAAAAGTTTATGATTGTGAGATTTTTTAACACCTTGAAATGGCCCTTCATAAAATGTCATGTCTCTGCATTTACCAATATGGCTTGTAAAGTTAACAATATTGCTCAAATCCACTTCTTAATTTTATGAACCCCATATGGTCTCCTCTTAATACGGTAGAGGTATGTATGGTTTTCCGTACGCGGAAATTCTACGGCTTGTAGATCTGGAACACTGAATGCAAGTGTGACGACAGGTCCGGTTCAAAGTTATTCGGGAAAAGTTTTATAAACCAAATTATACCCTTCCATCGAGTATAAAATTGAAAGAAGACGTAATTTTCTACTGAATGAGCAAAAGAATGAATATTTTTATGCATGTTTTCTATGAAATATAATTGAATTTTTAAGGGCATCAAAGTCAATGAGAAAATGCATGCTACTTACCTAGTCATTTTTTACTGAGCATGGTTTGTGGATGCAGACGGAAAGACGTTTGTTCGAAAGCCGCCGCCTGGGGTAACTGAATTATTATAGAATTATGCTGCAGGATGATTAGTCTTGCAACCCTACTTAATTAATCTTTTCGAAACGAAAACCCATTTCGGAATTTCTGTAGAGATTTCATGAGTTGGCCCACTAACTGTAGTTTATAGCAGGAGTAGACTTGCGCAACACCTACCACATTCTCTCCTTCCCCACCCGGTGTCAAGACAGAGTCAAGAAGACCGTAGGCGGGAGAGGATACAGGTGGGTGGCACAGTCAGACCCGCACCTAGGCGTACCACCACACTCCCTGATCCAAAACAAACACATGACCGGGATTTTAATTAACAGAAACACCACGACGAATCAGAAAGAGGGTAATAACTAGGTAACCATGCCCACGACCTGTATGTCCAGTGAGAGCGCAAGCGCATCTACCGGCAGGAAACAAGGTGTCATGGTACTGCCGGCGTATACCAGGCTGCGAGGGCCATGGTTTACTGATACTGGCATAGCACACGCTGTCAGACAACAAGCCGCACATGACCCCAGGACCTGAATGGTAGAGAATGTGAATAAAATGTCCCATTGCCAAATGACAAGGGTTCAACCCATAGACCCTCTGGGACGCCGTTGACCGAGGATGGGAGATGCGCTTAAAACGACATTTGCAACCTCCCACGTTTGTATCGATTGCGTTTATCGATCGACTACTCGTCGCTCGGCGAAATGTGAAAGCTTATTTACGACCTGCAATCAATGAAACTGGTGAAACACTGTACAGAATACAACAGTCTTTGCTGTCGTCTGTCTTCTACTCGCGAATTGACGTTGGGGGGTCGTAGTGGTTGGTGCCTGCCCTTGACCTTATCTGCGGTGATGTCGCTGACCCAGACGTGAGTGAATCGAAACTACCAGAAGCGACAGGAACCATTTGCCGCAAATTATCCCTCCCGACTTCGTCGACACATTTTACCCGCTTCACTTGATGTCTCAACTGCAAGGTGACTACGGTTGCCGATACCCATTCGTGAAACGAGATGGATGTCGTCAAAAAATCTCATCCCATCAAGCCCACACAAAGAGCCCCCCCCCCCCCAGCCAGTGCGAGAACCCGGATTATTCCCCATTTTCTCCATCATCAGCACACTTACTCTCCTCTATGTCACGCTTGAGCAGGGCTTGCGAGCTGAAAAGCAGTTTCCGTCGATTAAAAACTGTAACATCCTTACTATTGGACACATATAGCTCCGAACCGTTCTGTACTGCCATGGAGGGAGGGGGGAACTGTTCGGGATGCCGGCTCATCTGAATCCGGAAAAAGTCTATGAAGATAGCTGGTTTGACGCCGAGAAAGCCGACACCCTATGGAGGTTTGATCACGTGATCTGTGAGAGTTCGACTGTCGCTCGCGACGGCGTCTATCGAGTGCTCCACGGGGTGGCGAGGCACTGGTGATCTGCGCGTGAATATGTTTGTGGTGATGCAGTTACTACACATGATATTAACTCTGAAAGTTGATCACAGTTGCCGTGTATCTTGGCTGATTCAAATAGCTCAGTATCTTATCCCCATTGGGATGAGTTTCCTCACCGATCCCTCTACAAAAGCAGAAAGAATGGATTTCGGAAAATGCATCCGCATATTTGGTATGTTCTGGGCATGAAACAGGAGCTTTTCTTAACAGGCTGTCGGTACTCGATTGAAAATTCACAAAGTTAGTGCACAGTTTTAAGACTTTCAGTGTGGCCGATCTGCGAACCTGCGCGGAACACCTCCTCCTCTCATCAAACCTTACGCCTTCCGACACGGGAAAGAGCAACCTGGATGCGCCCCCGATCGCGGTGTTGGCCGATGCCAGAGGCGAGATCACAGGACGTGCTGGTGACAAGGGCAGTCTGAGACGTCGATAGCTAGATGGGTCGTTATATCCACGATAAGGGTTTGACTGAAAACTCGCAGGAGACAACAAGAGAGGCTGCCCTGAGGTAAATCAGATGTGTTTTATAGAATATGTCTGCTCACCGCTTAGATTTCAGCAACAAAGTAGCTCGGAGCCTGAAGGCACCGAAGGCTCCGCCAACTGCGGAACTCCGTTCACTTCACCGCCAAGAGCACCGTCAGTTGGTCACGCCGTCAAAACCTGGACTGGTCTGAAGATAACGACAAGGATCGCTGAGAAGAATAGGTCGAACAAAGCCTACATCTAACACAAAAACGACGCAAATAAAGCGGACTTCTTCGGACGTCGCCTCTTTGTAAGGCAATGGATGTGGGATATTCAGGATGCCCGGGTGGGGACGAAGGCCGGGGAAAACAAAGGGTAGGCGAGCCGCAACGAAAAGGGGTAGTCTGTGGCATCAGCATAAAAAAAACCGCGCCGCATCTCAGCTGCGACAGAACAATACTTCTTAGATAGAAATCGCCGATTCTGAAGCGTAGGGCCGAGTACTTCAGAACCGTCCTCAAACGCCCATCCAAGATCTCAGGTGCCGCCATCGACGAACATTCTCAGCTGGAAAAGAACAATGAACTGGATCTCTCCCCTTTTCCTCCCAGCGACAATTAGTGCCGTGTACCAGCTGTCCAGGGGGAAGCCCCGGGATCCAACGCGATTCTGGCTGACATCAACAAGCATGGCGGTTCGCGGCTGGTGGACAAACTCAGGAGATGTGGCGTCAAGGACAAGTTCCCAGGATTTCAAGGACGCGATCGTCCCCCATCTCTACAAGCAGAAAGGTAACCGTCAACTTTGACCATCACGGAATATCTTCACTCACATCATCCTCAACCGTCCCAACAGTTATCTAGAACGTCTACCAAAGCCACCCTTCTACGGCGATGTCGTTACCGTTGCTCGCCGGTAAGGGGATCAAAAACGACGGCAGAAAGGCGCACTAGAAGCCTCTCTCAAGCAACTGGAACTCACCCCGGAGGCCTGGAAGGATTACGCTCAGGCTTGACCAGCCTGGTGAAGAGCAGTGGGGAATGGGGCGGCAGTCTAGGATGTCAACTGAATCCTCGCTGCCAACGACAAAAGAGCGGATCGCGAGTCTAAAACACTTTCGGCCCCTCCATGACACCACCAACCAACCCATCCCAACATGTCCACGCTGTCAACGAACATTTCGCGCATGAATCGCCCTCGTCGAGCATTTCCGGACCCAGTGCAACAACATCCGGACAACTCCACCTGCCTCCTCCACAAATGTCCCCATGTTCACCCTTGCACCAACTCCCACGGCGGTGAGCACCTTCGCCACCAGTGATTACAGCCCTGACGTCCCGCCACCGTTGAGTACCGCCAACTCCAACATCCCTGTCACAACCCCCGCGACTACCATCTCTCCCATTCCCCGCAACCTATGTCCCCATCACCGGCTGTGGGGACTCGATCCCAACCTGTCTCCACTTCAATCGTACATTCACATCGCTCATCGGTGTGGTCGGGGACTTGCGAATGCACTGCCCAGAGCCCCAACGTACAGTAGGTGGGCTAACTCATGAAATATCAACCGACTGCAGGCAAGAACTATACTCTGCAAAAAATGACAACTTAATTAGCATGCAATTTTCCCATTGATTTTAGTTGCCCATAAAAGTTCAGTTATATTTCATGAAAAACATGCATAGAAGTACTCATTCTTTTTCTTAATCGGTAGATAATTACTTCTTCTAATTTTATGCTAGAAGGAGGGACATAATTCGGTTTTAACAAAGTTTTTAATTGTGGGACTTTTAAAAACCGTGAAATGGCCGTTCATAAATCGTCATGTCTCTGCATTTACCAGTGTGGTTTGTAAAGTTAACAATATGGATAAAATCCACTGCTAAATTTTATGAACCCTATATGGTTCCCCCTTATTACCGTAGAGAAATGTGTTGTTTTCCTTACGCGGAAAATATGCGGCTTGTAGGTTGGAAACCCTAAATCCAATTGTAACGGGAATTAGAAAAGTTTTCGAAGACCGAATTCTCCCTTTCTTCGAGTATAAAGTTGGGAGAAGAGGTAATTATCTACCAAATTAGAAAGAACGAATATTTTTACGCCTGTTTTCCATGAAATATAATTGGACTTTTAGGGGCATCGACAATCAATGAGAAAAATTCATGCTACTTAAGTAGTCGTTTTTCACAGTGTAATTTTTGCATGCAGCCGAAAAGAAGTTCATTCGAAAGCCGGCACCCTGACGTAACTGAATTACAGTAGAATTATGTTGCAGGCTGATTGGTTTTACAACCCTACTTAATTAATCTTTTCGAAACGAAAACGCTTGCACGTGCCACAAACGACATGGTTTCCCACAGTAAGCTAGACCAGGTGATCCACTATCCGCATGGCAGACGGGCTAACTGGATGAGCTTCATTCAACAATCTGGGGTGGACTTGCTACAAATAACCTACAGCTAGTAAAGTGGAGCCAAAAATAATCCACGGCATTCTGGCCATCCTGCGAAATGAATCCCTCCGCATACGGGCAGCACAAGTTAAACGGCAGTGGAGCGTGGGTGTCGATGTGAATGACGTCGAACGGCGTGGTATTTGCACCATCTACCAAACCTTCATACGCGCCGGTCAGAGTAGAAAGTTTTCGCCAAATGTGCCCTTAAAGCGGGTTTTTGAAACAGGGTTCCCAGCCCGGTTTTATACTTGCAGGCAATTGGGCGGAAGTAACCGCAGATAGCACAACCCATCGTGGCGTCTCTTTCGAGAAAAGTGCACTCTAATCCTACCGTGAGCTCGGGTTTACCCACGAGATGGCAAAGACGGGAGACTTTCGACTGCGGGGCTCCCCAGCTACGGTCCTAACAGCGTCACAGACCACCCTCCACGAGGGATTTGTGATGGTTTAGACTACTGAGAACAAGGAAGCCCACGCACACAGGCAGACGATCTTTGCCGCGGCTCGCCCCGCGAGTCACAGATAAAGAAATGTCGAATTTCTCAAGGCTGGCGGCTGCCTGGCGGGCGTCTTAAGTTGCAGGATGACTCTACCACATCAACCGACAAGATTCTCTCGCCTGCCTGAGATCGTGTTCGGACGGTCTAACTGCACTACGATCAATACTTTTTACCCAAATCAGAAACGGGTCATTTGGGCTTTGATTTGGCCCGCGAGAGCACTCGGAGGAATCCAAAAGTGCAAGCTATTAACTTCCACTATGTGGAAGGTCATATCACAAGTCATAACAGAAAGACTTAACGCTTCACACAAGCGGATTGGCCGACGCTATCCCTTAAGAATAAAAGCAGACATATCCACCCAAAACTAGATTATCGGAGACGGAGTGGAAAGAAGGGGGGAGGGGGGGGGAGGGGAGAAGGCAGATGGGGGAAAAATTTGTACATATCGGTTGGTCCAGAAGATAGAATGACTGACAGAGCTTCAAAAATGACAGCGTGTCCATTCTCAGCAGACCTAGGCCCGTTGGCACGGAATATGGTGTCCATAGGCAAACAGCAAAAACCATAAACTGCAGGGTTCTGTGGTTATTCTGGCGCGTAGTTCAGTATCTTCCTGCGGCAGGAGCGTAGGAACTTCACTTCGCGATGGTAAAGACCCAGCAGTCCTGTCACGCCCATGTAAAGCACGCCTCCCTAAAGTGCAAAATGGTGGTGAAAAACGCAATGACAGAGAACACACTGCTGAACAATAGAAGCGAAGAGACGAGTCCCAGGAAACAGTCTTGAAGAAGGAGACACGATCGCTGGGACAAGATCTTTATTAGCCTGACGTTTCGGATTCCTGCTCGAACCCATCTTCAGAGACAAAAGCAGATACGAGTGGTTCATGCACAAATGGCTGCAGTATTCATAGGATGCAGTCGCCATGCTACCGCATACCTAGGAATGTTCACGGCTACCCCCTCATCAGGGATCGTTGCACGTCGTGTGGCGACTGTTTGATGTCCGATATTCACGCCGTTTATTGCTGCAATCTCATCACGTGCGTTGGATGTTGGTGTGATGATTGCTCAACCATCTGATCCACCGACCCTGACGCTGGGAACAGTGTTCGCCTCTAGTTACTCCGCCTAGGCGAAGTCTCAGCACGGAATATGGAAGGGGAAGGTCACTGCACATGTTAATTGACTGGGGGTCAGCAAACCATGAATCGAGCAGCTCCCGGTTCACGCGGTAGTCACCTCTTGCGAGAATTTCGGACTCCTCGAACTTGAATGTGTGGCAGGATTTCTCTCTCGTGGAGAGCTGGCATCATTTCTCTGCACCGTTGCAGCGTGTTCGGCCATTCGCGTTCGGAGCTGTCTTCCGGTTTCTCCGACATAGTTGCTGAGGCGGAGTAATTAGCCACGCGGGGAGCGCACAGGTGAGAACTGGTCCCAGCGCCAGGGTCGGTGGGTCGGGCAATCATCACACCAACATCCAACGCACGTGATGAGATTGCAACTATTAACGACGCGAATGTCGGCCATCACGCCACGTGCAACGATTCCTGATGAAGGGACGAGCCGTGAGCATTCATAGGTATGCGGTAGCATGGCGACTGCATCCTATAAATACTACAGCCCCTTGTGCATGAACCACCCGTATCTGCTTGCCTCTGAGGGTCGGTTCGAGCAGGAATCCGAAACGTCAGGCTAATAAAGATCTTGTCCCAGCGATCGTGTCTCCTTCTTCAACATTGGTGAACAATCGCTTTCGGTAGTGCAACACACACACACAGTAAGATTTTCAGGATAGATAGTCACATTTATACATACCGAATGTTAACTTACTTTCTAGATACGCTGATTAAGGCTCGAGAAATCGGGCATTATATCAGGGCAGTGGGTGTCGGGGGTGCCCCCAAACGGGGCATGTGGGAGATGCGCTTGACTACCATGGGGGACCTATCGGATTCTGGCAGGCTTTATCGGGTTGCGCACCATAACAAATGCCAACATATCGGGGTGCGGTGGCACACCCGGTTGCCGGCAGACGTCGCGCACGCTGGCTCACCTGCCCATTGTTGTTGTTGGTCAAAAATCTGTTCCTTTGCTGTGAGGACCAGGGGGTATGGAGTGGAGAGCCAGGGTGCGGGCTCGACCGTGCCATTCACCTGCACCCTCCCCCGCCTCCGGTCTTCTTGACACCGGATCCGGGAGGAAAGAGTGCCGTAGACGCTGTGCAAGTCCACATTCACTATAAACTAAATCCTGCACAAGCCACAGTCCTTCCTTCACCTTGTTGTTGAGCGCAAGGTGGACATCGTCGGCAACGACGGTCGAAATGTCGGGTGTCGGTTTGACGGAAAAGAGGTCCCTTGTAGCACACCTGGCACAGGAGTTCAGAGTTCCAAGATTGTGTCAGACGGTGGTGGATGAAGCCCTACTGGGTGCTCTCAACATCCGTCATATAGCAATACTACTACGGGTATGGTCTGAAAGTCTATCAATTGACGGGAAAACTCAGCCTTTCTCGGGATTGAAATGAAGTCTGCAATGTCTCCCCAATGACATTTTCAGCTACGCAAAGTCCGAGTCGCCTTACAGACCAGGGGCGGGGACCAGGTCGCGTTCAGCGTGCGCTAACGGGTCGCTCAGTTTCGCCAGACATTGCGCTGACTGGTGCATCAAAGCGGGGAAAGAATGCGGTCGATACAGGAATTCAGCACTATGGCACAACCACAAGAAGCTGGTTGAGAGAGGACAAACTGCGACAGATTCTGCACAAGTCTGCCCAACCGCAAACAAATTCACACACAAGTCGTCGGTGCTGGGCCCACCTGGCGGGACGACACCGGGCGTCGTTGATTAGGACGGTCAAACTCATTTTTAAAACTAACTGAATTTCCAGACAGGTACCCAGCAAGACTTCAAAGCAGTGCTGCTGCAGCCCCCCCCCTCCCCCCAAATGTGGATTGTGATGTCGGTTAAACGAGACGACAGCCCCGTCGTCGCAAGAGACGACTTCCATAGCGTGTTCCACCGAGTGGGTGCAGCAGCACCGACTTGCGCAGCATCTACGTCACTCCCTTCCCCCTCACCGCGCCGTGGTGATTATCGTCACTTACAACGGATAAGCCATCAATGGCGAACAAATATGGCCTAAATGCTTGCACAGGCGAACGCAGCAGCTACGGTTTTCATATAAAGCTTTAAAGGTGAGAGAAAAGGTAAACAAAGATCAGATCGCAGTCCTACGCACAGACAGAGTTCGGAGGAGGTCTGACTCAATCTGCGGGAAGAAGACGCGACCACAGAAGACAGAAAAGGTTGGTAATAGCAGAGCACTGCATAGAATTCGGGGGATGGCTCCGAGTTCGAAGTTGGATCGGGGGTCGTTGGCCTCCTCGAGCCGCCACGACGGTATATCTGAGAGAAAAGTGAAGGGCAGGGAGAGGGAAGGAAGTGAGGATTCAATTGGGTCAGAGCATGCGAAAGGAGAACTTGACACCGCCAAACCACAGATCACAGTCTAATTGTTCAGGGAAGTAGATGGGACAAGCAGTGATTCCAATCTCAGCGTCAGTTGGTTAACCGGCTCGGACAATCGAACGGTGCACGGAAAAGGGAAGACGCTTAGCGCACATTTCTCACTATAAAAGATTTGACGTGGTTGAGACTACCACGGTGGGCAAAAAGCCGTGAGGTGGAAGGATTCCGACTCAGGATGAAAATCAGACTACGCAGTCAGGCCAGTGTGTGTTTGTGTGCAGTGGTCGACTGAGAGTCAGACTGCAATGGCTGCTTCTTAATGCGACCTTTATGGCAATGCAATTCAGTTGGAATTCGAGCCGCGACCCCCTCTTTTTGTGTGAAATCCCGGCCCTTCGTGCGTGAGCCAGGGGTGGTGGTGGCACCCTAGGTCCTGTCTCAAAGGGGCGAAGCAGCAAGTTGGCAGATGATAGGGCAGAAGAGGAAGCGATCGCCGGAACAAGGGCGTTATTCGTCGGACGTTTCGGATTCCCACTTGAACCCAGCATCAGAGACAATGACAGAAAAGAGTGACTCGTGCACAGGCAGTTGTTGTATTTATAGGATGCAGTCGCCATGCTACCGCATACCGCGCTTCCCTTGATCAAGAATTGTTGACCGCTGGTGCGCAAATGGCTTGATGGCCGGCATGCAAGTCGCTAATTCCTGAAATCACATCACTCGTGTTGGATGCTGGCGTGATGATTGCTCGGCTATTTGGCTCACCGGCTTGCGCACTCCCCGAGTGGTCAATTACTTTGGCCAGCCTACGCCTCAGCACGGAATATGCAGTGGGGAGGTCGTTGCACTTGTTGATAGAGCGAGGTCCCGTGAAACATGACTCAGGTAACTCGCGGTTCACGCGATTATCCCCTCTCGCGCGGATTTCGGCCTAATCGAACTTGAATGTGTGGCCGGATCTCGTCGAATGGTCCGCGACCTGAGAGTTGGCGTCATTTCGCCGCACTGCTGCCGCGTGTTCGGTAATTTGCGTCCGGAGCAGTCTTCCAGTTTCTCTGACGTAGTTGCTTCTCTCGCAACTGAACCAGATCAGGCAAACGACTCCAGATGTTTATTGCAGCGTTTTGCAAGTTTGTACAACTTCCGCCCTTTAAGATCCATCTCTTCCTCCTCTCTTCTCCTCTGGCCTATTTAGTTAAAAAGCGCGCAAGCCGGTGAGCCAGATGGCCGGTATGCCAGGCATACGGTAGCATGGCGACTGCGTCCCATAAATACTGCAACTTCCTGTGCACGAATCACCAGTTTCTGCCACTGTCTCTGATGATGGGTTGAAGTGAGAATCCGAAACGTCAGGCGAATAATGCCCTTGTTCCAGTGATCGCTTCTCCTTCTGATCAACTAGTTCCTGGAACTCGCATCTTCGCTTGTTTTGGCAGATGGAAGGGCGCTGAAATAAAAGAGCGCTCGATGGCCAAAGAATCCGGATTCGGACCCCAGGTTACCCAGGCCTGGTAGGCTGACGATGACAACTGATAGCAGAAGGAATGATAACGGGTTGGATATGGCCGGCCGACGACCGCCAATAAGCCGAAAGTGGCCATCCCGATCTTCCTCGTCTTTGTTGGTATTCCTTGCCTGCATCGTCGTCACACGGTCGCCTATGAGGACACCAGATTGAACCCTAAGGCACGATGCGGAGGACACTTCTCATAACCCAAACGGCGGACGTCATTCCACCGAAGTTAATATTCCCGACCGCGAGCCAACAAGAGAACGAGCCCGTTGCTTAATCGTGGAGCTTGGACCTGAAAAATGCCCAATGACCCAAGAATTCGGGTTCGAATACTCGGTTGTCAAAACACAGGATAAGGCGTGGTTGGATGACGACGGCCGTCCTAGTCTCCTTTGCCTTCGGCGATGTTTCCTTCTTCATTAATGCTGGTCGCTATGCGATCGGTAGCGAGGACGACACGGGGAGAGCATGTGCTGTAATCTGCTCTGTGGAATCTGTTGGACGATTGATTACAAATACGTCGGCATCAGGCAGCGAATAGGTCTACTTTGCTAACCTGAAGCGAGAGGGCGAGTAAATTACCCTAACCCAGCGCGTTTCGACCTGTGGTAGTAAAAAAAGGCCAGAATAAAATGTATATAGGGCCAGCGGGAGCCGTTAATATTACAAAAGCGACCATTTTAAAGGTGCCCGAGGCCAGTTTATCGTTTCCGATTTAGTTCCTTATTAGGTCTGGTAGTTTAAAGGCAGAGATAAGGGTACCTTTGAATAACACGTTCTCCGCTTGAACGTCATTGTTATCATAGTTCATATAATTATTCCGCCTCCCCCCTGCTCAGTTTCTCATTACCTTCCGAAAGAAGAGTACGAAGTTATCTTTTTATTGAAAAACTTATCGTGATAAATAATGTTTTGTTGGGGATCCCTGTGGGTAATGTCAACAAGGCTTTGAACGCCAAACCGAGTTATTTGCCATGGAGATATTCAGAGCTGCTGAAATATCACGATAGTTCGACCGTCGCAATTGACGATGTCCATAGCGTGAATCCATTTAGAGTGGTATAGGCTTGTGCAGCATCCGCCCCGCTTCTCCGTCTGCGCGTGCCACACACGTCCGACACGCGTAGTAGGGGCGAGATTGTGTGTGGCACGTGTAGACGGGCTATTTGACTTCCTAAGTCATGACGCCCGAGCTCACCTCCAATCGCCTGAACCTTGTCTTGCCATCGGAGCAAGATAGGTGAGGGAGGGCAGCGTGTGATAGATGCTACTTAAGTCTATCTCACCATGAACTGCTGATATTCCAATAGGCCTGCACGACCGGGGGGCCGTTCGGTAATACACGAACACGACCCATCGGCCGGACTCACCTGCAGGAATGAAGTATCGAAAGGGCGCTATCTTGCGAAGGTGTTTCCGCCACAGTCGCAACAGGAAATCCTGCCAGCCAATGAACTTGCTGAGGATGAGGACAACGGGAATGGCTGGAAGGCCGACGAGGAGGATGACTGGGTCTGTGCGCTCCATAGCGTCTAGGCCGGAGCCGTGGCCATAAACCTGCATCACAGTAACCGCGCCATAAGTGACTGCGGACCAGTAGAGACAGCCCACAAGAAGACCGCCAAATAAATAGGAGCAGGTGAGGTCAGTGACGCGATCGAAGGCATCCAAGAGGACGAGGAAGGTGTCTATTGGGAGGGGGAGGGAGTACGGCAAAAAGACATGTTAGTTGTGAGGTATCATCCATGCGATGGAAAGCAAAAGACTAAGATAGTGAAGCAGAGGAGGGTACATTATTGCCATGTTTCAGCGAGTAATTTGTGGAAACACTGAAAACAGCGCGTTATAGTAAGTTTAAATGTTTGAAGGGATTGCTGGTTAGGGCTTCGAGGAACGAACAACAAAGGACAAATACGCATATACATATTTCGTAAGCATTGAAGATAGGCATCCCAAGTAGTAGAATTTGAAATGAGATAGGTTATTGTTCCATAAACCTATAGTATTTTAACATACAGTAGATGTGCTAGCTCATGAAATGTCAACCAAAACTTCGAAATGCGTTCTCGTTTCGAAAAGACAAATTAAGTAGTGTTGTAAAACGAATCATGATGCAACATAAATCTATAATGCTTTAGTTACCTCAGGGTGTCGGCTTTCGATAGAACTTATTTTCGGCTGCATGCAAGATCTACACTCTGCAAAAAATGATTACTTAAGTCGCATGCAATTTTCTCATTGATTTTCCATGGCCTTGAAAATTCAATTATATTTCATGGAAAACATGCATAAAAATATTCATTCTTTTACTTACTCGGTAGAAAATCACGTCTTCTTCCAACTTCATACTCAAAAGAAGAGTATAATTCGGTTTTAAAAAACCGAATAATTTTGAACCCGACCTGCTGTTACACTTGCATTCAGGGTTTCAAAACTACAAGCTGTATATTTTCCGTGTACGAAAACCATGCATTTCTCTACGGTATTAAAGGAGACCATATAGGCCTCATAAAATTTAGCAGTAGATTTGATCCGTATCGTTAATTTTAAAAGCCCCATTGGTAAATGCAGAGACATGACGATTTATGAACGGCCATTTCACGGTATTTAAAAGTCCAACAATTAGAAACTTCTTAAAACCGACTTATGTCCCTCCCCGAGTAGAAAATTTAAAGATGTAATTTTCTGCCGAATGAGCAAAAGAATGAATATTTTATGCATGTTTTCCATGAAATATAATTAAACTTTTAGGGGCATCGGAAATCAATGGGAAAAATGCATACTATTGAAGTAGTCATTTTTTACAGAGTGTAGTTTTTGCATGCAGCTGGAAGGAAATTCATTCGAAAGCCGGCATCCTGAGGTAACTGAAATATTATAGAATTATGTTGCAAACTGAGCAGTTTTGTAACCCTACTTAATTAGTCTTTTCGAAACGAAAACGCATTTCGGAATTTCGGTTGACATTTTATGAGTTAGCCAATCTACTGTAAGATACTCTGACGGTTTGAAAAGCGTCCAATTTATTACAACGGGGACAGTTAACTAAACAGGACGTGCCTCACTTTCTTACGCCTCTACTAAGACGCAGCAACAGCCCGACTGACAAGGTTGGGTGCAATAACTGACCAGGCACTTCGTCCAGTAGTCATGAGTCACTCTGGGTTCCCCAAAATCCCCCCTCCCTCCCTAGTTCTGGCCGCACAACACTGCCTGCCTTTTGATCCGCAAGGCGTGCTCGCATATGCGACCTCAACGGGACCCCTTTACCAGGCCATACACAGATACTGCTGCAACTCAATGAAACACAAATGGCAAATCAGGAAGGGATGCCCAACCGACAATGATAACGGAGGCGTTGCGGGAATAACCATCGTCTGAGTAAACCTGGTTGAAGGCGAAACCCCGAGAGGCGTCTAATGTTGCAGGCGCCTTGAAACGTTGGCCCAAAAGTCAGGTAGAATTGCAGGAAACAACCCCACGGAAGCCAACCCGCCTCTGACTTAGCGACTTCTCAGCTACCTGACAAACGACAACTCAGGGAACATGGGAATATTTGCTGAACTCAGAAAGACGTAACTGTTTACTCTATCATGGGATAGTAGGTTTAACCGGGACTTTTGTAAAAGACGAGGAGTATCTGTATAAAGTCTTAAAAACCGCCGTGATCGTGCGTGTGGCACTAAGCTCAGCTCGGAACTGCACAGAAAATCGTCTCTCAGGTCCATTTTGTAGACAAGTGCGTCTCCTTCCAAGAATATGCGTGAAGGAAAAGAGTCCTTCGGTTTTCAGAAATTGTACAATTATGATAACTTCCGAGACATTGGGATGATTATTCATGTTGTATGCTACCGTCGGGTCTATTAGATGTATTCATAAAGTCTGCAGCGTCATGCGTATCTGACGCAACGATCACATGAGCGTCATGGGGTGTGCAAAGTAATGTCACTTTTCGTCGGAGAAAACGGATAGCATATAGCTTGGAAACCCACAGGGTTTCGGCACAGATAACAAAAACACCGCCACGTACAGTTCCTGCTATGGTGACGTGGAATGCCATCTTACGCGTTCATGCGATGATACCCCCCCCCCTCCCCCCACAGCAAATGACACCAGAAAACCGGCAATGGTGCACCGAGATTTTGTGATGCACAACCAAACTCGTAAGTGGATCGGTGGAGGCAGAAAAATGGTAACGAAACCCACCAACGACACCACACCCAATTTCGCATGAGATTGTATTTTGCTCGGAGATGTTGATGGAAAAAAAAAACAGGGTGGCGGTTTGGGATGATAATGATGACGATGGTGAGGCGTGAAATGGGGGAATTGCCGGTACGCTTCTGTCTACCAGCACAGGTTTTTTTTGATCACGCGACCTACCTAGTGGCACAACAGACTACGTCAGGCGTTTGACCTTGAGCGACTGCTGCTCACCTAACAAACAACACGTTCACCTTGCCAGGCAATTCACCTGGTTGACAACCGCAGTTTCACACGCCTCAGTAATTCAGAAAAAAATAGCGTGCTTTCAACAATTACCTATAACCTGCTCTTAAGGAGTAATGCATCAATTTAGTAGTGACCTAATTGCGAAAAATTCGGCGGATTCGGTGGGATTCGAGCCCACGATAGCAAGGGCCAGCGCCGTCACTGTTGGAAGTGCCTACACTCCCAAAACCAAGAGCCAGCCAATCACGGGAGGCCATGTGCGTTTCCTCTACAGCACTGTCATCTAAATCGTGGCGCCTCTCCATTGGCTTTTCTCCTCGGGCCTGATCGATCTGCATATTCGAATTATCGACCAGATCGTCTGGAATGTTCTTCTCGAAGGGCATTGGACCGAATGCCGGCGAACCACAGTAGGGCGTTATAAATATGCGTTACTTCCAGCTTATTTTGACTTGCAATTTTCTAATACCCATTTTCGTGGCCGGTCGCCTTCTCCTTCTCTGCCGCGTTCGTATTGGGGACAAGAGTCGGGTACGCATACGCTCCCACGTGCTTTCAAGTACCACGCCAGGTCAAAACAGTTACCACCTGAACTAAGAGGGTCCATCTGGAGCTGTGATTTTAATCGCATTCGGGTCAGGTCACCCGCCCAACTTACTGCAACGTATGAAATTCAGGATTTGCTGGGTAATTAATTTAGAATCCACCAGATGATTTCCGAAAGCTGACTTAAGTAGGATTACTTGAGACAGAATAGGAATTTAAGCAAGACTACTAGTAATATTCAAGAAGACTTACTACAACTCTCCAGAAGCTATGACGGGGTAAGCTTTCGGTTGGTTTAGACCAATCCTATCAACAAGACTGGTCCCATGTTTCCCTTACATCAGAAGTTGGACATTTTTAACCCGAACAGGACTACGATTCAGCCGTGAACTGTACGCTTGGAGAGACTGACTTTGAGGCGTCTACAAATTAGCCCACATGAGAGTGAGACAAAGGCCTCCTCGAGGTGGTACCACGAAACTTTGGTGGAGGTGTCATTCCGCCCAAGCTTGATACCTGTTTCAATCGAAAAGCGAAAAAATCAAGAGGCCGATTTCATGACCGCATGAGATCTTAACAATTTTCGTGTACGCTCGTGACACACGTTAGACAGTGGCTCATGCTACCGTGCCCAATCTCGTCACCAGTCAGCCCCGACCGGTCGCCAGTGAAAAGGAGAGAAATGACAGTGAGGATGAGACAGAGGTATCGTTGCCAATAGAAGCGAAGAGACGAGTCCACAGACCGGAGGCAACCATCAGGCGTCAAGTAATGAAACAGAAAGACCCACTACCACGGCTAGAAACGTCTGGAGTCGTTTATCGGATTTGGTGCAGTTGCGGACAAAGCAACTACGTCGGAGAAACCGGAAGGCAGCTCCGAACGCGAATGGCCGAACACGCTGCAGCGGTGCGGATAAATGACGAAAGCTCTTAAGTTGCGGCTCATTCGACGAGATCCGGCCAAAATCCTCGCAAGTGGTGACAACCGCGTGAGCCGCGAGCTGCTTGAGTCATGGTTCACTGGCCCCCACTCCATTAACAACTGCAACGACCTTCCCTTTCCGTACTCGGCGCTGAGACTTCGCCTAGGCGGAGTAATTAGCCACGCGGGGAGCGCACAAGTGAACACTTTTCCCAACTCCAGGGTCGGTGAGTCAGATGGTCGAGTAATCATCACACCAGCATCGAACACTTGATGAAATTGCAGCAATTAACGACACGATATCGGCCATCAAACAGTCATCACGTCAAGCGAAATAATCCCTGATGAAGGGGGTGGGTGAGCCGTGAGTATTCATAGATATTCGGTGGCATGGTGACTGCATCCTATAAATACTACAACCCCTTATGCATGGACCACCCGTATCTGCTTTTGTCTCTGATGATGGGTTCGAGCTGGAATCCGAAACGTCAGGCTAATAAAGCTCTTATCCCAGCGATCGTGTCTCCTTCTTCAAGAGGTATCGTTCCTCATAATAAAAAAATTTGACGTCTGACGGTGTGACTAGGCGTCGGGCTGTAATAACCCCTTCCTAATGCATCCTCTACCTCATCCGGACCATTTCGATACTTGCAATTCGTCGTCAGCCACTGAACAGTGATGAGCTGAAGGCCAGATCGTGTGTGTGTGACAGGGATCAGACGAACCGCCTGGCTCTACCAGTCACTGACTACAGGCTCATTCTAGCCGTCTCCTGTTCTTGTAACCACATTAACTTGAATCACAGCTCGGAGGACCGAGTTATCTCCCCAGGCGACAATCATCACGGCCACGGTTTTAAATGCACAAAACTCACCAGTTATGAGAGATGACAGAGGCATTGTCTCATACTCCCTTCCCACATTGTCGAGGATGAGTCTAGCCGACTGGAGACGATATGGGCGACAGTGGTGTTAGACTGCCAGTCTGCCTGGCGTTTGACACAGAAGCGCTGCCTCGCACCCCCGCCTGCATTCGAAAAAAACTCCCCTCGTGCACAGTGCGTAAACATAGGAACTAGCCAAGTTTTTTTTTTTCATTTAATACAGCTGGTTGTCACCGCCTTTGAGACGACTGCATCCCGAATTTGATGCATGAACCACCACCACCACCAGCAGTTCACCGTTTCCGTTGGCTGTCTGGCAGATTGGCTAAGCAAACAAGGTGTACTGGATGCCAAAGCAACTATTTCTGACCTACAGTAAATGCGCTAACTCATGAAATGTTAACCGAAATTCTGAAATGTGTTTTCGACTCGAAATGATTACTTAAGTAGGGTTGAGATATTAATTATCATGCAGTATAATCCCAAGATATTTCGATTACTTCGGGACGCCAGCTTCTAAACGAATTTCTTTCGGACCGCCTGCGAAAACCACTCTGTAAAAATGACTACTTAATTAGCAATAATTTTTCTCATTGATTTTCGATGCCCTTATAAATTCAAGTACGTCATAGAAAGCATGGACAAACATATTCATTATTTTACGCATCTGGAATAAAATTACGTCTTTCTCAAAATTTGTACTTGGAGGAAGCTATAATTCGGTTTTAAAAAAGTTTCTAATTATGAGATTTTCTAAAACTGTGAAATGCCCGTTCGTGAAACAGCGTGTCTATGCATTTACTGATGTTGCTCGTAAAGCTTACGATATGGCTCAAATCCACTGCTAAATTTTGTGAACCACATATGGTCTGCTCTTAATAGCGTATAGAGATGTATGACTTCTCGTACACGGAAAATATACAGCTTGTAGTTTTGAAACCTTGAATGCAAGTGCAACGGCTAGTCGGATTCAAAATTATTCAGGAATTGGAAGTTTTTTAAAACCGAATTATACTCTTTCTTCAGGTACAAAAATGGAAGAAGACGTAATTCTCTTCCAAATGAGTAGAAGAATGAATATTTTTGTCCATGTCTTCTATGAAGGCGTCAAAAATCAATGAAAAAAACCTATGCTACTTAGACAGTCATTATTGCGGAATTTACTTTTTGCAGGCGGCCAGAAAGAAGTTCGTTTAAACGCTGGCGTCCCGAAGCAACTGGAATATCTTGAGAGTCGAAAGCGCACTTCAAAATTTCAATAATGATTTCATGAGTTAGCACACCTACTGTTTTTGTGGCGCTACCGTGTGACGAATTAAAGACAATGGTCCTAAAGGGGTTCAGGGGCGTGATTACCATGGACTTGACGGTGGTGGTTTTTGTGGCGCTACCGTTTGACGAATTAAACACAATGGTCCTAAAGGGGTTCAGGGGCGTGATTACTATGGACTTGACGGTGGTACTGCTGGTGGTGGTGGTGGTGGTGGTGGTGGTGGTGGTGGTGGTGGTGGTGATACTGTGCGCAAACCAAGTTACCCTGGCGGGAAGTCTCAGATGCTAAGGAGGACGACGAGGGCACATAGATAGGTCGGCTTACCAGGAGGAGGATACACAATGGCGTACTGATAGCCACATGAGCTGCACAAGACGGGAGTGTTGAGACTGTTCTGCTGTTTCTCATCTATCCACTTTTGAAGGCAGGATTGGTGCACCCATTTGCAGGATCCACAACATCGGCACGGCCGAATCCAGTCCTGGGGGGCCTCTGCCTCAGAACAGTAGCAAACCCAACAGAGGGTATCTGGCGGTACTGGGGAGGGCTGCGAGGAGACGCGCACGTTTTGTGCGACAGGAACGGGTCGTGGGGACCGCGCTCGAAAACCCGTAAATCTCCCCTAAAGGTGTGGTACAGAAAAAAACAAATGCATCGTAAGTGTCAGAGTGTAGATGGTTATGGTCTGGCTGCAACAGCAGCAGTTTTAGAGCAAAGAACACAGTCGGTACGCAGGCTGTCGGGTGTATGGTGTTCCTTCAAGCTCTCCAATTGTCCTATGGGTATGCTGCATTCCCTCGAGAATAATGTGCACGTCTAGAAGTTTACGGCAAATACACGGCCGACCGAAATGGTTATTCGTCTAATTTGCAGTCAGCTGACGGTCATTGGCCGGCAGGGAACAGCTGGATTAAAAGGCAAAATGTGTCGGGAATGGTCGTCCGGGCATTCCTTGTCTTGGTCGGCAACAGTCGTCGACTACTGATCGATCACCGCCATGCGACCGCCCACAAGGGATCTAAACCGGCGTTATTCTGGGGAAGTGGAAGGACGGTATTCCGCTTCAAGTCAACGAATGCCAGTAGCTTGTGACCGGTGTTACAGAAAATCAATTCAGCCCGCGAACTTTGTTGGCTGAGAGGCTGGGAGCTTTTTGGTGAATTCCACTCACAAGTATGGTTCATCAGAAAACTTACCGAAGCTGGGACTTAGACGCCCTAGATGTTAGGGGAACAAAATTTGCGATGGAACCAACTAGATCACTTTTGCAAGCGCTTAGTCAAGTGTCAAATTCTCACATCTTGACAGAACGCAATATTTTAATACGAACATACTAGTTAGTCGCAAACCAGAAAATTAATTGCAGCTGTGACTGGCAAGATAGATTTTTTAGGTAGTCTTCCACATATCGCGGCTAGAAAACCCTTCTGTGTTGTGTACGTACGACTAGTGGACGTTAAAACTGCTATCTTCTACATGATGTGAGGTAGTCGGTAATGGACGGCAGACGATGCGCAAAAGTTAAGTGCTTTACACGACCGATGTGGGGAATGAAAACGACGTAGGGTGCATTGCAACCATCACTCTCTTTTGTCCGTCAACCCGCATCTGTCAACAATATCCTGTTGTAGTTGTCGGAGATCCAAAATGGTGGCCAAACTAGGCCACAACTGGCAGAGCGTATGTCCGCGACTCAATTCGCAGAGCATTCAGGTCAATGATTAACCGCAATGCGGTCCCCTCAGTCTGGGTTGAGGTATAGATGGCAAGGGGGAAACCATCAATTAGCCAGAAATTCTCATTCTAGCTTCCGTTGTTCTTCTCGGTTAGACTTCCCAAACTTTAAACAGCATATAAATTGCACGAAAAGGCGTTATTCAAATTACTTCGGGCAACAGGAAGTGCGGTTAGTTTTGTGGCTCATGACCTTCCGAAAATGGGGATCAACTAGGCAAGTTTTTGAAGTCAAAAATCGATTACTTTCAATTATTACATTCTAAAAAGAAGTCGTTAACAGTGATCGCAGAAAGGCGCTGTTTCAGTTCCAGAAAAATAATTTACCTCATGCAAGCACCAAAAGCGGCTAAAAGATGTAAAATTGGTCCATGACTCAGAATAGTGCTCAGTCACAGGCAGCGTTCAGCCGAAAAATGAATAAACGAGTAGCCCTGTTCCACATGTGTTTGTGTTACGGTTAACGTTGTAGACTGTCAATTACAAGGGCATAACGGATGTTCGAATTAAGCATTGCTGTACAGTGTCGGCCGAGTTTTAATGACAGTGATTGAAGAAGGAGTAAATTAAACGGATTCTGACTCGTGAGGAAACCGCACACTCCCAATTTAACTTTGTCTAGATTATTGTTAAGGAGTCCCGGTCTCCGGGTTACAATCCCAAAAAGTTCTCATTATCGACATCGACTTCTTTAATTAGGGGATATCTGGAGAGGTGTGGTGAGCCGCCTTTTCTCCTAATCGGACGGAATTTTGGATGGGCAAAGGAAAAAATTTCGTTTGCAGACTCCCAACCCTAATCCACAACATCCGAAGGGCAACAAGAAGTGCTGTCAGCTTTGAAGCTCATGACCATGCAAAAGTGAGGGATCAATTAAAAAGATGAAACAGGCAAGTTTCCAAAGTCCAAATTCGATAACTTTCAAGCATTGCATTCTAAAAAGGAAGTCGGTAAAAAGTAATTACAATAAAGGCGTTGTTTCAGTCCCAAAAAAATTATTAACCCCATGCAAGCACCAAAGGCGGCCAAAAGGTGTGTAAACGAAGGTGCAAAAATGGTCCATGACTCAAAAAAGTCTTCAGTCACAGGCAGCGTACAGCCACGAAATGCATAAATGCGTCGATTGTGCCGCGGCTCTTATTAACACCGTGTGGGTGGACACCAGTTCCGCGCCATTTGAATGCTTGCCTTAGAACCTAGAGCAGGAGCTTGTAGGAATTGGTTACACCATCTCAAGTTTGGGTTTGTGTGTGGCCGGAAAATAACAAAGAACTAAACGGAGAACTTTTTGGTGGCCCTCTATTGGCCAGTGTGCATGAACTGACCACTCTCCACTTGGGCAGAATTCGCAAATAGAACTATCGAAGAAGGCCGACTGGCCGACTTGATGTGAATCTGAAGTTATTCCATCGTCTGGACAAAGATGGCAGTCATTAGCGGCCCACCTGGAGAAGGCACGGTTTGCTGAAGTGGGACGACGTGTTAGGCATATGATGCCAAAAACCGTCAGTGCGCTCCAAGAAATAACGCACCATAACAAGACAAGCTCGACTAATTAAATATCTCTGACAGGCGCTGTAAACCGAAGCCCGTCCTGAAATAATAGATTCAAGCGGTCTCGTAACCGCATATTCCAATGCAGTTCTTCTATGTGAGTTTTTTAAGATGTTATGAGCTCTTCGAGACTGCCTTTGGAAGGAGCACATTCAAAAGGTGCTCTGGACAAAAGATGCGAAAGTTCAGATTGGAAAAGTTTAGAGATGCGGGAAGATTATTAGAAGAAGAAAATTGACTCATAAAGCGCACAGGCAAAAATGCCCGTCAACCATTTCCTGAGAGGCCGACGCAGCGTGAGGGGAGAGAAAAATCGATCAGCATGAGGCCGGCCAACACAGCTTGCCACTTTAAGTTAACTTTCTGATCGATTAGGTGCAGTTTACGCTTTGACAATGAAGAGCCGACCCAGCTCTTTGAAACGTCAGCAGTTAAATAAACCTGTTCCGGACAGCCAATATTCTTCTTCTAATGATGCGAAAGTTGTCGTAGAATTCAGGAAACCGGAAAATCAGGTTGCTGACGGTCGACTGGGCCTTGGATTCGTGTGGGCATTATATACTCATGGTTGTGTCCCTAAGACGGGTCACGCGGTAGATGCGCTGGACTAACAAGGGGGCTAGACCAGATATCGGTAATGAGCATCCGTAACAAATGCCAACATTAGGGTGTAGCGACATGTCTAGTTGCCGACTCACGTCGCGATGTCGCGTCACTTTGGATCCCTGTCGCCCACCTAGGTTTTTTGTGGTATAAAATCCTGATCAGTGCCAGTTGCAAACCAGGGGATGTGGTGGTGTGATTAGGTGCGGGTTCACGCCGTGTCAGCCAACTGCGTTTTCTGCCGTCTTGGTTTTTTTGACTCTGTCAAGACATTGAGCCCAGATGGTGGAAGAGGAGGAGAGAGTGCGGTAGATGATTCCAGGGTCTACCATCACCAAGTCGCCGTCACTGATCTCACCCTTCTGTGGAGCACACAGTGCACATCGTCCAAATTGACGGTTGGACAGTGGTCATATACTCATGGTGGATACGATTCCAGGGAAAACGGACAAAATCTCCGTTATTGTAGACGACCTATGTTGACTCGTGATGAATCTTAGAGAAAAAAGGACAGCTGACTTCTCAACAGAGATAAATATGGGACAAACATGGTTAGCTCCAGCGTGAGGGCCTGATATTTAGAGCGGTAACAAAACGAACCCCGCCTGGTAAAACACTGACCATCAGTTCAAGAATAATTTGGTTGAGGAAAAAGTCCAACACAGACAGACGAGAGCGCTAGCGTACAACAGAGCAGTGGCAATAAAGAAAATAAGGGAAAGTCAGTAGGCCTAGCTAAATGGCGCATAAAATAGTAGGCCAGATATGCCGGTCAAAAGATTAGTACTGACTAAGCACTGTCCCTCATCTACTTATTTAGTGAACGAAATCAATAGTATTTTCGTGTATCGGAGGGTGGTATGAGAAAAAGTTATCATCACGATGAATCAAGGGCTCTGAGGTTGCCATCCGTTTTGGAAAATTCACCAGTTTGAAAAGTGGCAGGACCAAAATGACAGGTCCAAGGAAGCTAGTAGAAGGGAAAAAATGTGGATGACAGCCGTCAATGCTGAGCGGGGTCACGTCAATGTGGGGCGTCTAACCCGTTAGCCGATTGTGATTCGCCTCAACGTAGAGGAAAGGAAGAGATTGGTTTCCAGTCGTAAGCACGACATTACGAGTCCAGGTGTTCTCTAGATTCTTGATTTGAGCAAACACTGTCGGCATTCGCTAATGAACATGGCATGACTAGATCAAGGCGGTCCAACGGCTCTACTGTCCGCGAAAAAACGTTTCTACACGTAATACCAAACCATAAGAATGTCCTTCAAGTACATAATCGTACCATATGTAAGAGCGAGGACCACTAAAAGTCAGTAACAAGCTGTTGGTAGCTGAACCTAGTCTGACAGGGCCACGCAGCAGATTGTTTACAACCGTGGCCGAATATAAGTGTGGCGGACGTAGAAGTCGACTGATCGAGATTCTGGTCTTGCCTTACTAATGTGAACAGAGAGGGGATCTGGGGTGAAAAGCCGACATGAGTTGCTTTGTATTGCAGGATTGCACAATAGACCGCGGAAAACTGTTATCCTCTCCGCAGCTGTCTGAAGTCCTAAGCTTCCTTCGCCTCGGCAAACGCATGACTTCAAGAGATCGCGAAGACTGACCCATTATATACGTCCTTTGCAATCCTATCACTCTTACTATACTGCTTTCCATATAATTATCAACATTCACTTGACAAAAATCTGCCCACAGCGCTATCCGTTTATATTATTGTACTTACTTGTACTTGATACGGCTGCGATCATGCCTAATCTAGCCGGCCTCGATGATGTCCCGAATTGTACCTCTCCACGCGTGATGATCCGCGGCAGCAGATCTAGACAGCTCAACCCATTCCCTTCGCCAACGACGGAGACCAAATACCGAAGGTCCAAGAACCACCTCCATGTCTTGACGAACTGTGTCGAGACAGGTTTTGAACTGACCCCCTCTTCGACGCCTCCAATGGGGCAACGGTGCCGGATCGAGGGCAGTAACACTGAGCTCCTGAGGTGGACGACGAAGAACATGCCCGAACCACCTCAGTCGTCTTTCTTGGATGGCCTGAGTTATCCTCGCGATGTTGTCGCAGCGAGCGCGGACTATCTCATTTGAGACGAAGTCGGTTAACTTCACTCGAAGGATGATCCTCAAGCAGTGGTGGTCAAATACCTCCAGTTTTCGCTCATCCGCCACGCGCAAAGCCCAGCATTCGCAACCGTAGAGAAGGACAGACCGGACAGATGCACGGTACACGCGAATCTTAGTGGCGATGGAGAGGTCACGTCGGTTCCACAGACATTTCCGAAGGCTTGAAAAAACCCAGCGGGCAGCATCGATTCGGGAGACAATGTCGTCCTTGTTCTGTCCATTAGACAGCAGCCGCGCCCCGAGGTATTTAAATCTGTCCACTTCTTCAAGTTGACAGCCATCGATCCCCAGGGGTGCCTTCTCCTGGTCAGGGATGCAACTTGAGAATACTTTGGTCTTCCCAGCGTTCATGGACAAACCGACTGATTTAGCGACCTCGTTCACTCGTGACACCATAGACTGCAGATCACCAAAACTTGAAGCAAGTAAGGCGACATCATCGACATAGTCGAGATCAGTCAGTCGATGTCCGGGTGCAAATTCAACACCGACACTGTCGCGTAGGGCCCTCCCGAGGATCCAGTCAATAGCGTAGTTGAACAGTATGGGTGACAGGATACAACCCTGTCGGACGCCAGACCGAATACCGAACGGTTGGGAAAAATTGTTACGGACCAGGACTCTCGGAGTAGTGGAACGATAGTAGGCTTTGATCATGGCGATGATTTTGGCCGGTACACCATCTAGCGCCATTATCCGCCACAGGATTATTGTCAATCAAATTGATCCTACGGATGTGAATATTAGACTTCCGGGTCCGTGCTCACTTGAAATAGGAACAACTTGTTTATTATTCTGAGTTTTTGAAGTCATGTAGAAGTCCATTGTCAGAAATGACAACAGCAACATAAAGCCAGTGGTTATAGGGGGTATTAGCCGATCAGCAGTTAGTGACAAAGGTCTGGAAGTGACTGTGCAGCGTTCTGTATTGCAGCACTAGATCGATTCACTGATTGCCTGAGTCCACATCCGGGGTCCAAGTTCCAATCGATTCTTCGCCAGCTGATGTTTGTGTACGTGCGATCCCAGCGTGCGGCCCAGTCTGATCTGTGTAGTTACAGGGATGATTTTGGCACGGGGTGAAATGCACTACTCCAGACTGTTTCTTAGGACCTAATCGGTCCTTGACTTTTGTGACCATGCTACACATGGTAGCTTTGGGTTGTCGTGCGACTCCAACACCTTGCACAGCAGTGTGCTCCGTCACTCTTAGAACGTTCTTGATGTACATCAGAGCACTGACATCTTCGTATGTGAGTCACCGAAGAGGTGTTGTGAAAACTGGGACGTTGCGGGTGTTCGTTGCTTTGCTGTCGACGCTCGTCTCAGTTTCGATGTTAGGACATCGCCTGACGGGCACACGAAGGAAAGGCAACTACTGCTCTGTCGTGCAGCAAGGATGTCTTAGAAGCGACCTAGCGCATTACAGCAGGACTATATGCCGGAACTGCACACCATTCCAAAGCTACCATGTGTAGCATGCTGATGCAAATGAAGGAGCGATTAGGTGACAAGAAACAGTCTTGGGTAGTGTATCGCGTCCCGTACCCAAATTTTCCTTGTAATTACACAGACCAGACCGGAAGAACGCTGGGATCGCGCACACACGAACATCAGCTGGCTCTGTGACGGGGCGCCAAGTTATCGCAAGTGGCTGCCCACGCCTTTGAAGCTAGCTATGACCGCAGTCACCAAGATAATCGTCCACATCGCGTACAAGACAAGCTGAGAATCGACTGAAACTTGGGATCCGGATGAGGACTTGGGCAATCAATGAATTGACCTAGTGCCGAAATACAGAACTCTGCAGTCACTTCCAGCTCTTCGTAACTGACTGACGATCGGCTAATATTTCTTTAACTGTTGGCTGTATTTTGCAGTTGTCATTTCTGTCAATGGGCCCCTACGGGATTTCGAAATCTCAAAATAATAAACCAATTGATCAGATGCTCGGTTGGCCTTCTCATTTCTCAGTTATCAATAATACCTACAGAAGAGGGATACGGTGGAACAGGGGATGTAACTACCGAAGGCTCTGGACACCGTTAATAGTGCACAGACATAGGTATTAGTCTGTTGTTGAAAAATCGCTAAACACGTAGACGGAACACGCGGGAGAAACGCAACACAAATTAAAGAACACCCAAAAAGCTGTAAATATAATAAAATTAACCCCTAGTGGTGGCCCACAAAATATTGAAAGCAAGCTTTATTCAATAAACTGAATCAGAATAGGATGAGGATTTTGGGTTCTACAGCTACCCTGTGTGTTATTACTATTCCCGGATAGTCGTCAGTGCACGTTGAAGCGGTCGACGCAATGAGTGAACAGTCGGTAAAAGTGACAGTAGAACCTGTAAGACATGTTTAATTTTAATTTAACGAACGAGGGGTCAAAGTGCTGAAGAATTGACACATATCAGGAACTCAAAAAAGCACCCACCGTAGACATTACCGAAGAGCGAGCCTCAGCCCGAAAAATCCGAAAATGCCGCGCGCCTATAGGGTTTCTAAAAGGCAACCCAATGTACAGATACAGATTTCAGTCGCAGATCGCGGGTTTCCGAGCGGCCGCATTCCAATGGGTGATGAGTAGTCTGTTTCTTCCTCTAAATGATCTTTAAAACGCGTAAACTAAACCATGCTGAGATATAGTGAGGGGAAAGAAATTAACAGAAAGCACACATTTTGGAGAAAATACTGCGTAACTAGGCAAATTTCGTATTTCAACATCTACAAAATTCAAATGCACAAGATGACAGGCATGCATATGCAGACGAGCCAGGAATGTGAAGAAAATTTGCTGTTAAAGGCAACATAGAACCACTAATTACTTTACAGTTACCACAGAAGAAGTACAAGGAACAGACACAAAAGCCCTTAATAAGGACTAACGGTGACGTTAAGATTGCTGATAGCAGGGATAAAACAACGTATGTTTTACAGTTTTTTTTTCAAATCAGTCTAAACAAACGAGGCAAGGTTCCTTCCTCTCTCCACAGGAAAACTGCCGACTCAAAGCATAAGTCATGTACTTTTCTCAGGAGAATTTGAGGCAGTGAACTGGTCGAAGTCGCCAGGACCAGACGAGATTCCAACCAATCTTCTCAAGGAACTTGCCGATGAGCTTTCTGTGCCTTTGTCGATACTCTTTAAACGTCATTTGAAACTGGAGCAAAGGAGGTAGCAGGGCACCGAGGACAAATTACAGGCCCAAAGGATTGACACGCATTCTCTGCAAAGTTATGGTGAGGACCATGAAAAGTGAACTGATGCAATTCCTGGAAGTTCACGGCCTGCTATCGAAATGCCAACATGGGTTCCAGATACGAAGATCCTGCGCGACAAACCTGCTGGACCCGAGCTCTCGACGACAGGCATGCGGCACACATAGCCTTCATCGACTTCCAGAAGGCGTTCGACACTGTGCCACACCAGAGGCCCTTACATAAACTTAGAAAAATAGGGATCGGTGGTAACTTCCTTAAATGGATCGAAAACTTCCTTTTCAGTCGACAGGAGGTTGTGTGCACCGGTCAAGGAATATCGAATCCTTCTGTGGCTTTGATTGGTGTTCCTTCGGAGTCAGTACTAGGAACCATATTGTTTCTTATATGTGGACGTTTGTGCGAGTGCTTTGGACTGCAAAGCAGGAATGTTTGCCGACAGCAGGAAGATATGGCGTGTAATTCGGGATCCTGCCGACCAAGACAGACTGCAGGCGAACCTAAATCGGTTGGAAGAGTGGTCAAACCGTTGACAAGTGTAGCATAATTCGCCTAGGCTAAACAGCTCGATCCACCAGCACAAGAGACTTCTTTCTGGGCGGTGCAGCATTACGAGACGTCGAAGTCCAAAAGGAGCTCGGTGTTCTGACAACGAACTCAATAAACCATCTTCTCATTGTTCGAGAGTGTAAAAAAGCGCAATTTTCGCACTATACGCCATCAAGCGTGCATTTATGGATTTTGACGAAGACGCTTTCTCAAGAACATTCGTGCGGGCGCACTTGGAATACGAAATACATGCCTGGAGACCGTGGGCTGTTCAAGATCAAAATTGCTTCCGAATGGTTCAGAGGAGCGCGAAAGATGGTCAGAGGTCAAAACTCACGTCCACATGCTACCCGCTTAAATAATCTAAACTACATCCCCTTGCTTACATTCCGCATAGTAAAGGGAGTAGACTGCAGACTGAACTTTGAGAACATTTTTAATTCGCTACTACGACCAGTCTCCGAGTTCCCCCGTTTAAATTGCGCACTCAGCTGGCAAGTCTGGACGTGCGGATGTTCTCCTTCTCTGCACGAGTCTCAAAACGATGGAATGCCCTCCCTGCAGATATTGAAATGTCACCATCCATACAACATTTTTAAAATAACCTTGTATATATTTATGTTCTGCAATGAGCAAACAGATGAGAGATCGAGCTCACCCCCTGAGGCTCAATCCCATTTTGTTAAATCATTATGGGCTCGTTTGAATTATTTCAGTCCAGATAATTTCCTTGTATACTTCATCCATTTTTACGTTGTAAAGAGGGTACTCAACATCTTACACCCATTTCCCTCAATAAACCCAACTGAACGGAATTGAGCCTTGAAAGAGTCCCGACGACTAACTCAAACTACCGCCCAACAAACCTTGCCGGCGCACTCTGAAAAAGCATCACAGAAATTATCCGGGACATGCTTTAATGTTATCCTTAGAATCCAATACGCACGAACTGATGTACGCATTTTATGTTATTGCTAAGGAGGAGGAGGAGGAGCAGGAGGAGGAGGAGCAGGAGGAGGAGGAGGAAAAGGAGGATGAGCTCCATGAGTAAAATCCCACTCGAATAAACTAGGGGGTCTAACGTTTTCGTTTACTGTTTCATCACCAATAGTCCGTTAATTTGTTATTGTGCATGTAGAAATAAATGTCCTTGAAATTTACCAGAGAGTTCTACCGTATTTTTTTTCCATGGATCCTGTGAAGTCTTCTATTTTCATGCTCACATTTATCAAGTTTTTCACAAGCTCCAGTTAGTCGAGCGCGTATTTAAAATTATTCTTTCTTTTAGGGGCGGCCAGCGCTTCCCTGTTTATCGACGTCAGCCGATCGCTTATTTATGCGCGAGTAATTCTTTTTCAGCAACGACCTGAAAGTGCTCCAGTCTTTGTTAGCTGGTCTGTGCAACGCGGCTGTCCAAGAAAGCATGAGACTTTCCTTCGTACGCGGGGAGAATCTCATTCCTAAGTATTTTTACCCGCCTTTTAGAAGATTCGATCTGGCCATGCATGGACTATTACAATAGGATTACTAGATTCTGTTGGTGAATAATCTCGTATTTTTTAATCAATACCCTCCGTTCGTATAAGAACAGAATATAGACCGTTTGGGCTCAATCCTTCCATAAAGTATGCTGCTTGGGTTACGGCATATCAGAGCGATAGAATGTCAGACACAACCAGCGTCGGCAATAGGCCTCGTTTAGCGGTTCCTTAATTTTTATGTCAGAGCATATCTTACTATACTTGGCGTGCAATTTTCTTCAGTCAAGCAACTAATTAATTGCCTCATTCATGATTATAGTAGGAGGGCGTGCACAAATGGCGTTACGTAACTCACTGTTCTCCCTCAAACCCCTCCAGCAGATGCACAGTGACGCGTAATGCTATTTTGTCCCAATCACCCCTAACCCCACAAAAGATATTGACAAAAACACTGACTCCACCCACAGCCGTTACCTCTAAATTAACGTTTGCTCTGAACCCAACCACAAACCTAACCCCAACCGCCCTGGAGTGTACTCTTATATTTACCCTAAGATTTATAAGCTAATTTTCTAAACTTTTACCTACTCCCCAAATGAATAACATACATACGGTTCGCAGGCGACGATTGGGTTTTTCTGTTGTAGCTTTCGAAATAATTAGCTGTTTGACAAATTTATGGGTTAATGGTCGATTGAGTGGCAGAGGATATAATGTTACAAGTTGGTATTTCGAGCCCTCTGCAGACTTTCTAAGCGACAAAAATACGCCACTTTCGTTCAAAACTGGATCCTTTATGAAACAAATTAAATACTTGACCTGACCAACATTCGACTTCGGCGTACTCCAGCGACCTGCCCTTTATATTTTTATTGTCTGAGTCCACTAGCCGTGGATATAAATGAAACCGTTCTACCGGCCGTAATTTTCCAGGGTGCCTTTATCATGTTTGTTACAAATTGGAGATAGAAACATCGGATTTGATGCTTAGAAAAAGACTCACAGACTTTTGCCAAATGGTGTTCTGTATAGCTTCATTTTATGCGACACGTAGATCCCGCCACGGTTATTAGTGGCAACCAACAGTCTTAACTCAGCACCCATGTCCAGAACGCAAATGTGCCTGGAGTAAGTTCAGATCTGGTTATATCCAACTCCGAAAGTCCTAAGATTACGGAGTATTGTGCCGTTATTGTCTTCATATCACATGAAACAACTAGATATACCTACATGAGTTTAGAATCTTGTGAAAATGGAGCCAGATTATTGTTAATTTTATGCAACTTTTGCTCTCGGATGAATGAAAGAATACTGAATAAACTCAGAATCTTATTGTCAAAATTATTTCATCGCGTAGGGTATTAAAATCTGGCCTACCAAGAACCCTGAGGAATCACAGACTTTCATCCTCTATTACTTTGTCCACTTATTTTGTTTAAACTGTCAACTCGTTGTAATTTAAGGCATCTTGAATACAATTGTTGCCATAGTCAAAGCACGGTTTTTATATCATTCGTTGGTAAGTATTGTCTGACGCCGCCAGTCATCTTTTGTGAGCATAATCGTGTGCGGCGTAAATTACACCGGAATACAAACATAGTGTCAGAGTTACCGTTGTTTAATAGACGATAACTCACTTTTTCTGCGAAAATTCCCATATTACGATTGAAAAGTCAATTGGCTAGCATATGCTTTCGGTAATTCCTCATCAGGCCTGTACAATTACAAGGGAAATGATCAATCTAATTGTCGACAGGGTATAAATGCGTCTCGGGAGCGGGGTTAATCGAACTCCATGTTCCCACGCCGCTCGCATGACGGCGTCAGCGTGTTGAGGACGCTGACGCCGTCATGCGGGCGGCGTGGGAACATGGAGTTCGATTAACCCCGCTCCCGAGACGCATTTATACCCTGTCGACAATTAGATTGATCATTTCCCTTGTAATTGTACAGGCCTGATGAGGAATTACCGAAAGCATATGCTAGCCAATTGACTTTTCAACTCACTTTTTGTTTTCAGCGCAACTTCCGCAGCGTCTAAACTTCGAACACACTGAATTCATTTTCTCCCGTGATGAAATTTGTGGGCATGAGCATGTCTGCTTTTTTCTTCCAGAGGGCAAACATTGCTGACTTTGAAATGTTTACCCAGCGGGAAGCCTCAACCAGGCGTTCGTCGTCTCTGCTGCAATACATGCATGTGACGAGCCTCAGACAGAAGCAAGTGCCATGTTAGTCCTTATGTGTGACCTTATCCTCGTTTAGATGAAACACTATGATAAATGCCCGAGGGGTGCGAGAAAACGGCGGGTTAGCTTTTCTTATTAAAAAACCTCAGCCTTTTACACATTATAATAAATCAGACATACTTAGACCCAACATGACGCGTTAAAAGTCGTGGCTTCGGAGACTGCCAACTGGCGTGATTGTATGGTTCTCCAATGAAACGTGGGTCAACGATAACGACTTTATTTCTACGGCCTTTTTGGCAATTCCAATTTCCATAAGATCCACTCCACGTCATCCACTACCCAAGCCTAACACGCAGTCGACTTGATTTGGACAGACAGCAGGAATTCTGGACAGGAAATCGAAAGTGAGGTGGCTCTGGTTCGGCTGCAGTGCTTAACTTTACAGTATAGTCACCAGTTTGCTCTTTGAAACTATAAACGCCTGTCAATGATGGTGGCTTGGAAGGTTCTCAACCATGGAGATTTTTCGGCGCTGTTGAGAACTGGAGATCAGGCTACAATGGTTTCCTTCTAATCTGGCCTTTATAACACTCCTACTGGCGTAAGATATTTTATCCCCCAGTAAACCATAGTACTTCTGGATTTAGGCGCCAGATCGTGTGAAATGCCAGTAGACTGCCTGTTTAGTATTGTCGGCCACTGCGCACACCTCCCTATGTGTGTCTCGCCACCGGAGTGCAAGAGGTGTTGCCATAACGTGCTCATAATCCAAATGCCGATAATCTTCTGTGACTCTGCTTGTTTGAGTAGAATTAAGTTCGGGTAGTAAGTGTGCGCATTGGCAACCGAATTCCGATCTCCACGACGCAGTATGACACACTTATCCGTCTTTCGAACACCTGCTGAACAGGGCGAGGGTGGATCCTACATGGCGCACCTAAGCAGGCTGCTATATTTGGCAACCAATGGAAAATGCACCTGGACAAACGCCCAATCACGGGCCCTTTGATATACTCCGTCAAGACCGTGAAGGTCGGACGGTGGAACATGGGGAATTTGATGGCAGGTATATTTATACCAGATGCAAGCACATTCTTTTGTATATTGTTATTATTGAGAAAGGATTGTGGTATTCTATGAGCTGAAGCTCCGTCAATAGAACAGGTAATAGGCTCGTCCGTCCTTGTGCAAATTCCCTCACGGGTTTTCCTGGGACCTCTTGTGGCCCGGAGAGTTAGATTTACTTACGTTTCGCATTCCTTGCGACTGGCATCATCATGAACAGAATGTTGCCCTTTAATTGGTGTCCCCATGTCGTCGTGATTAGATGGAGCAAAGTTCAATTCTTTTATGAAAGCAGCCTGAAAGGATTGGGAGAAAAGTTCTGTTTTTTCCTGTTTTTCCGATGATTTATTTAGGACTTTGTGACGACGCAACAGGAAAAGTGACTTGTAACATTTATCCGGTGACCCTGATTTCTATGGGTGGTCAGGGGATAGTTATTTGATTTTATTTTGATTCCTTTTGCTTTCATGGTGGAAAGTCTCTTTTAATTATAAGTCATAAGATTCTACATAAGGGTCACTTTCCTGACTATAAACGATGCCTCGTCTTTGCAGCTTGTAAATTTCATCAGAAATTAATCGCCAACTCGGATTCAATCAGACTATTAAAGACCTAGGGGCTCAGGCTAAATTTTGACATCGATATTTGGGCTGAATTCAATCAGCCACTGGGGAATAACCTCGTTGTTTTCATAAACTACCAACAAATAGACAGATATATATATTAAGATTGCATGATATACCATACTTGACAGCACAGATGCTAGCCAAAGGCCCAAACACGTGTTTTGCCAATATTTTGTCGCTGCATGACAGAGCTGCGAGGAGTTCGGCTCATCAGTGGGTCTCCCGGAGTGCTCCCGAACGGACCACCTGGTAGATGCGCTAGAACAATATGGGGGCCATATCGGATTTTGGCGGGCGTTATAGGATTGCGCACCATAACAGATGCCAACATTTCGGGCTCTGGTAACAGACCCGGTATCCGACAGTCTTCGCGCACAGTGCGACCCCCGCCGCCCCCAATCGTTGTTGTCGGTCAAAAATCTGGTCATTTGCTGTGTTGGTCATGGGGTGCGGAGTGGAGCGTCAAGGTGTGGGCTCGACCGTGTCATCCACCCGCGTCCTCCCCCTGCCTCCGGTCTTCTCGACTCTGTCTTGACACCGGGTCCAGATGGGGGGCGGGAGGGGAGAGTGTGGTAGATGCTGTGTAAGTCAACTACCACCATAAACTAAATCACGCACAAGCCACCGTGCCTGCTTCACCTTGTTGTGAAGCACACGGTTGACATGGCCGGCAACGACGGTCGAACTATCGGGTGCCCCGGCGTTCCCTGTGGGCTTTCTGGTAGACGCTCCTGTTCCGAAATTGCAGCTTTTTCATTTCTTCAGAAATTAATAGCTAACTTGGAGTAAATCATTCTATTTGAGACTTATAGGTTCAGGTGTTAGACCTATCTCGATTTTTGTAAACAATACCCAGAAATAGAGCACTCTCACAAGCGCCCCACTTGATCACACGAACCGAGATGTTGTAAGCTTCATACCTTTTTGATAGTTCGACCGTCGCATCTGATGACTGGAGTACACTCTCCTCAGCCTTCTCTATAAGTCGGGTAAACCTGCTGGGACCCAAAATAAATGCTCAGATTTCTAGCTGTTGCGACCTTTGTCTGAAATTTACCTTTTGTTAACATCTTTCGCCAAATTTTGATGCCATTCTGATATAGAGTAAACGAGGTTAATCAAGAAACCTTACGGACTAAGGCAACTATAAGTGAGGTAACTCTTTTTCCTAGTCGCTTGCTACAGTAAGTTGACTCTCTTGCTCTAATCTGGAGCTCCAGGACAGAACAAGCCATCCGCATATCATCTTACAGCAGGGAAAGATAGTGAATACCAACACCATGTAATATGAAAAACCGCCACAACAGACTTGAGAGTCCTCATTCATGCGCGGACAGCTCTGACAGCCAGACAGAAGATAACGCACAGCAATCCACATGTTTCCCGATGTAAGCACATTCCAAGCAAGCAGGCAATACCGTGCCAGTCTCCTCACGTATCTTTAGATGGCGTTTCGCTATCAGTTGCAGCACCGCACCATAGTGGGGACAGCTTTCATAACGTGTCTCGAAGCTGACCAGTGCAAACAGTAAGGCAATGCTGTAGGTCAGATTTTGCTTTAATAATTTCAGGTATTTTAGCCCACATGTACTTTTATTCCCCTCAGACTGGTTGTGACCTGCATGGTATTGTGTACTTTCTGATCTCCTATTCTGATGTCACAGATCAGACCTGATTTTTAGACGTTTGGTTCACGCTGTTTTTCTCGTCACCTTCAAGGTTTATTAATTTCTTCATGTTGCGCAATAGTAGGACGTGGTTATTAAATCATTGGGAAATTCTTGTTAGCACTAGTTTATTGTTTTCTGTAAATGTGAACTTTGCATAAAGTGTCTTAACTGGGGCGCATACACTAGAGTAGGGGCCTTCTTTAAACCGACTGAATAAACCTGTTAATGTAATGTTGATAAGGGTATAAGAACCCGTCTTACAATTTGTACTTATATCGTTGCTACTTATTTCCATTGGGTAGTTAGGACGCTGTAGTAGAACTACTTTGCAATCGAGCTGCCTATCAGAGTTTGGAACACATTCGCCATGAGCGGGCGCGAAATGGTCCTCCGCGTAGAGAGTTTCTTGATGTATCCTTGCAAAAGTCCGTAAATAATATCGTCTTTTTTTAAACTTCTTTGCCTATTCGAGTTTTCGACGTTGGAACCACAAATGGCTGCGTATTTTATTTTGCGACTAGACCGTTTGCATTTGTTCGTCTTTTGACATTGACAGACTGTGTTTTCGCGCAGTCTTTATGCTACGCACTTCTTGTTCATCCAAACATTAATCTTTCAAGGAGGTTCTTATACACTAATCCAACCGTACCTTTGGACATAATCACAAGAAAAAGCATTAGCTTTCTTATAAAGACGTACTTAGAGCTAACTTTCACAGCAAATGTACCAAAAACACAAGACTTGGAGTTTACATGAAGACAATCGTTTAAGCTAATGTTCATTACGAATGTGCAAATGACTAAGATTAAACATTTGTTATCTTACTAATATACGAATAAATTTAAATGAAATGTGAGGATTGATTTTATCCATTCAGCCATGATTTCATGCAATTTAAAGATATTTTTCGAATTGTTTTAGATAAACTAAAGCCTACAAAATTAACAGGAAAATTCCGTATCATGAACCTGAATTATGCGGCGGTTTATGGCAATAAGGCAGGTTGTTGATTTAGTGCATATATTTCGGATCTGGTCCTGATATGAGTCGATAATAGGTTCGAGGGTGAGGCTGAATATCAGGCAAGTAACATTCTTGTTCTAGCGATTGCGTATCTTTACCTTATACGAGCCTTTAGACGGTGTTCCCGCCGGACGCTAAGGGATATTTTCGAATGACTCTTATCGTGGACATACAAATGGAGTCATGGTGAACTTCTAGCACACACGGTACAGCGAGCCAGACCGACCGCGAAATCCGCGCGTGCGTTGTGTTAACCAATCAGTGTGTGCCACATCATCCAGCAAGCGTGGTGTCTTTTCTCAGGCGTGGAGCCAAATCAATGGATGTCGGAACATTCAGGATTTTTCCCCTCGGAGGTCATGACGCGCGAAACAGTCAATTCGTCACCGTTACACCGGAGTCCGGGATCTTCTATATCCGTTAACAACTGAATAAATGGGACGTTAAAAAGTCGAAGAGGCGTTCACCGCGAGGGGTTTATTGGAGGTCCGACGTTTCGAGTCGTTGATTCGTCTACCCATTTTCAGAGACTGAAAAGTCACCGTGACTTGAATCGCCCCCCTCGGCCGCGGAGATGACTGATGGTCCCGATTTTTCTGCGCCGTGACTGTCCCCCATTAAGAAGTTTCGTAAAGTCAGGCAGGTGGGGGGGGGGGCAAATTGATGTGGCGGTTGACAGGGCAGTCGGTGCACATCCAGGCTTCTTGCACTCGCCTTGCTGTATGATCACCGCCCTGGCTCACAATCTCAACGGCGTCAAAGATGAAGCTGTGTCCCATTTGTGCTGCATGGGTTGCTACCTCGACTTTGGGTCCAGCCTTGGCATCGCCAACTTATGCTCGTGCATTCGCGTTCGCGGCCGTCGGCCGGTTTCCCCAACGTAGTTGCACTGCCCGCGGCTGCACTGAGGTCGGTGGACGACGGCCGACATCTCCTGCTTAGGGATCGGATCTTTTGACCGCATCACTTGCCGACAGATTGCTGAGTCAGACCTGTGGGCAACACCTATTCCTAGTGCCGCGGCTTCGGATACCCTTTTAATGTACGGTATGCTCCGCCACGAGTTCGACTGACTATGCTCTTGATTCCGTTTCTTTGGCTGATTCGGCTCCGTTCAATGAATGCCTGCGAATGGCCGTTGACTGAGGAGTTCATGGAGGAGCTTTATCTCGTCCAGTTTGGCGGCTGGCGTGCTACAATGAGTTTCCACCCGTCGGTATGGCGTCCGGACACAGCTTCGTTTGTGTTGTAGCGGGTGGTTGCTGTTGTAGCTGAGCATTTGCAGCGGTTTTCTGTAGACCGACGTCGCTAGTTGGCCGTTTGGTTGACGGCAGACGAGAACATGCAAGAATGGAAGTTTGCCCCCTACTTCCCCTTCCATCGTGAACTGTAGATCGAGAATGATTGAGTTAAGTAGTTCCGCATAGTAGTCGATTTTATCCCGGTCGATGATTACAAAGGTGCCATCAACGTAGCCTGCCCAAAACTTGGGTTTGTACTCCTCGAATAGTCGTCTCTCGAGTTTTTGTAAAGCCGCCTCGGCAATGAGCCCGGAGATCGGTGAACCCATTGGAGTGCCCTTGATTTGCTCGCATGTGATCCCTTCGAAGGCAAGGAATGTCTTGAAGCAGTGTCCCATGAGTTCTATGAGATCCTGAGCTGTTGACTGGCCATCGCCCCCGTCGTAATTTTGACGTAGCAGGTCACTGAGCGTTTCGACCACAAGGACCTGTGGTATGGACGGGAAGAGTGAGACGACGCCAAAAGACACCATCCTCTCATTCGGTTCGATCGTGACTGCCCCTATTTTGTCAAGGAATTGTTCTGCTGAGTGCACCGTTGCTTGTGAGCCTGCAGTTAAGAATCTTAGCTTCGGAAATAGCCAGATTGTAAGCCCGTCTGTGGATGTGCCTCGGAGTGAGACGATTGGACGGAGTGGAATCACATTTTCACCACTATTGAAATGGCACGTTCGAAAAACTTGAGGCCGACAGAACAGTGCCCTCGAAACAGACCTTCACTCACCATCATCCGCTCATCGATACATAGGAATATAAGTTAATTGGGTTGCAGAGAATTGCCGCAGGTTAACATTTTCTCAGAGCCGATCATCAGATCTCATCCAAAATTATGCCATCATCAGCCCTTAATGGAATCGTCAAGGCACGTAATTTGATTACAATCATTGCTACCATTGTTGCCATCAAACATAGTATAAAAATGTGAAGATATTGAAATTTCACAAGCGCTCCAGAAAAAGACCTGAAAGTAATCACAATTATTGAGTATGCTTTCAGTGGCGTACCGTCTAAGAAATCTCTTAAACCACAATTCGTATTCTGAACGCTGATTATTTGGGGACATGTTGTGCTGTTGAGGGTATCAGGCGTAGACAGAAAAATTAGTTGGCGTTTTTATGGTTTTCGACTGTGGCAAGGTGAACCAGTATGGAAAAAGTTAAAGTGCGTAATATCTAGAACATGAATAAGCGAATAAAATGGCTTTCGATCCCTAGACTCCTCTGCCTCAGAGTCAGCATACGTGTTTTATAAGACATGTTTACGCTCAAATTTTCACATTAATCCTCACTCTTATCCTTTACGCTGGTTATTTTGCAGACGCGTTTTGTTGTTGACTGTATCAGACGTAGACAAACAAATTAACTACGGTTTTTTTGGTTTTCAACTGCGTTAAGATGAGCCATTTTGGGGGCATTGATATGCGTGATAACCAAAACATGATTGAACGAATTAAATGACATTAAATCGCTGGACTCCTGTGCTCAAGCGTGGGATTACTTATTTCCTTGGACTTGTACGCACCAGAAACGCCGTATTAATTCTCATTCCTATTCCAAATGTTTGTTAAATGTTTGATGTGTGGTCGAACAAATTAAAAGACGTCTGGAAAGTTAACGTTATCGCTTTATGATTTCCATCAGCCATTAATCTAAGCTCACAAACCCTTTGGAAAGTATATTCGATTGATAATCCGATTTTATTTATGACTTATCTGTACTGTTGTAACTGAGTTTGTTTTCTCGGCCTTGTTTTTACTTACTTTATTTTCCCTCAAATGCAAAACATGACTACCCTCTTATTGACGTTTAATCCAAGGGGTGTTCTGTTCATAGATGACGGCAACTTTTTAAAGACTACAATTTATCAGGACAAAACAGTCTGACTGACTGTTTCGATGATACAATCATACTGATCGAATTTTGCAGGAATTACGGATAAATTACTAGGCTAGTCATTTGTTACCTTATGAAAAATCTCCATGGCTGTTTAGTTCGAGGGTCACGCAGGAAGCTCTTAGTCTAAGCATTCAAGGCAGGGTAGTATCCTATCATTCGCTTCAGGGGACTGAGGTATTCAGGCTAGTGGAAAGTAATGATTTAAATCATGAGAAGTCATTTACGGAAGATTCTTACGAGGTTTTTCGAAAAATTGACAGAAGCTGACTGCTGGTAATTTTAATTTCAACATTGAAGGAGAAACTGTAGGCAATTAACTGTTGAATATGTTTTTTTACCAGTAAATCTTTTATCGATCGGAATAAGTTGTAATATTGATAAACCCCAATGGCCACCATTTAAACATCGAAGAAAACCTGATATTCTTGTCACATTTGAGTAAAATTTAGGACAAAAATAAGCGTTTTTTTCATACATCGCTGATGGATCACTTTGCGTCAGTAAAATTACGGACTGGGAGTTCGATTGCGAGATGAACGAGAGGTGTCGCTGTTGGCAACGAACCATTACAGACACCTGCTAGCCATGCAAAGGGTTATCAATATACTGTCGCTTAAGTATCTGATCACAAAACAATTAGTGGTGATATGCATGCAAAAGGAAAATATCTACAATGACCATTCTGCGTCTCAACCTCAGTTGGGGGGACTTACACAAGCTTCGTTTTCTTTGACTTAGATGTTTTGAAAGCGCTTAAAATCTGTGCACCTAAAAAGTTATGATGGAACTTCTGTCGCACGTTCTCGCACACTATGCTCTATTAACTGACTAATGTTCACACATGGCGGCAAGGTTAGGCAAGTCCAACTGCAATTGTTAAAAATACTTTTTCTATTTTGTTTACTATTGTAGGCAGATTAAGCGTCTGACCTGATATTGGAGAAAGTAAATACACTCTATCATTCTTAGGTTCAAATACTTCTGTAAAAGGGGGAGTAAACTTCGGTTTTGTTTTATTCCAATCCCGCAAATTAATCTGGTAAGATGAAAAGTTATTGGAGCTCTCCAAAACTTAGAGCACAAATATTGATTAAGTCGCTTTGATTCTACAGTACTGGATCCACTACCTACTTTCGGGTGTCCCTTAAATCTATAGACAACTGTCGAGTTCATTCTTTGTGAAGAAGGAGACACGATCGCTGGGTTAAGCGCTTTATTAGTCTGATGTTTCGGATTCCTGCTCGAACACATCATCAGAGACAAGAGCAGGTACCGGTGGTTCATGCACAAGGGGCTGCAGTATTTATAGGACGCAGTCGTCATGCTACCGCATACATATAAATATTCACGTCTTCCCCACCCCCTTCATCAGGGATTATTTCGCTTGACGTGATGACTGTTTGATGGCCGATATCGTGCCGTTAATTGCTGCAATCTCCTCTTTTGCGTTGGATGTTGGTGTGATGATTGCTCGACCATCTGAGGCACTGACCCTGGTGTTGGGAACAGTGTTCACCTGTGCCCACCCCGCGTACCTAATCACTCCGCCTAGGCTAAGTCTTAGCACCGAGTATGGAAGGGGAAGGTCCTTGCGCTTGTTAATGGACTGAGGGCCAGTAAACCATTACTCAAGCAGCTCCCGGCTCACGCGGTTACCACCTCTAGCGAGAATTTCGGCCTCGTCGAATTTGAATGTGTGGCCGGATCTCGTCGAATGAGCCGTAACTTGAGAGCTAACGTGATTTCTCCGCACCGCTGCAGTTTGTTCGGCCATCCGCGTTTGGAGATATCTTCCGGTTTCTATGACGTAGTTACCTTGTCCGCAACTGCACCAGATCCAATAAACGACTCCAGACGTTTCTAGCCGTGGCAGCGTACCTTTCGGTCTTATTACCTGACGTCTGATGGTTGCCTTTGGTCTGTGTTCATTCTTTATCAAACTGGTGAGTAGATTAATTGCAGCATTGGTTATCCTTCGCATAGTATGGTCAGATCTAAAATGTGCAAGCCCAGACAATAGGCCATCAGTAACTAGGATAGCCACATAACTTGGAGGCAATATACTGACTAGAACAGCTGACAGCATTCAAGGAAGGTCTCATAAAAACAGTTTATGAAATCTTGGTTGTATAAACGAAGGAAGAATTAAACAATATCCGTCTACCTCTATAAATGTCAGTCGGAGTACAACCGGCTGGGTGGTTCAGATGATAGAAGAGTTAGACAAGGGAATTACAAACGTGATCGAATGACTACTTAAATAGCATGCATTTTTCCAATTGATTTTCGATGCCCTTAAAAGTCCAATTATATTTCATGGAAAACATGAATAAAAATATTCATTTTTTTCGCTCATTCGGTAGAAAAATATGTGTTTTTTCCAATTTAATACTCGAAGCAAGGGTAGAATTCGGTTTGAAAAAGTTTCCAATTGTGAGTTTATTTAATACCGATAAATGGCCGTTCATAAAACGTCATGTCGCTGCATATACCAATGTGGCTTGTAAACTTAATAATATGGATCAAATCCACTGCTAAATTTTATGAACCTTATATAGTCTCCTCTTAAAACCGTAGAGGAAATTTGTGGTTTTTCGTGCACGGAACATATACGGCTTGTGGTTTGGAAAGCCTGGATGCAAGTATAACGGCAGAGCGGGTTCAAAGTTATTCGGGAATTGGAAACGTTTTCGAAAATCTAATATTACCCTCCCTTCGAGTGTTAGAGTGGAAGAAGACGAAATATTCTACGGAATGAGCGAAAGAATAAATATTTTTATGCATGTTTTCCATGAAATATAATTGAACTTTTAGGAGCATCGAAAATCAACGAGAAAAATGCATGTCACTTAAGTAGTCCTTTTTTACAGAGTGCAGTTTTTGCATGCCGCCGGAAGGAAGTTCGTTCGAAAGCCGGCATCCTGAGGTAACTGAAATATTATAGAATTATGCTGCAAGCTGATTAGTTTTACAACCCTACTTAATTAATCTTTTCGAAGCGAAAACGTACTTCGGAATTTTGGTTGATATTTCATGAGTTAGCCCACCTACCGTAATATCGTCTGAAGGATGTGCTCGGGGAATTAGTCTTCTCCAGTGCGCACATTGGTGTTATGACTTCTGTTACCTATGACCACCGGACCGGTTTGTCTAAAGGGACTCCGTTATCCCCGCCGTCCCACACAGGCGGCGTCGCGATAATATATAAGAACTCTAAGGCACTCAACTGATCACCCGGAAAGTTTCCTTGACCTGAGGATAGGATGGGAACTTTGCCTTAACATTCTCGCCACGTGAGCGTTTGCACTCGCCATTTTCCTCAATGACTTATTTTCTGGCCGAGACAGCTTACTCCGTGAGCACAGTTGAAGCGCCGAAATTGCGATGGGACAGTTGGGATTGACGAATTTGTTTTACTCGGGGGATGTTGAACTAGGCCAGTGACGAATACTCTTCAGGTCGGTTTAGCCCACATGACCACATCACTTCGCCCCTCCCCACACTTTCATTCACTTTACTACCCAGACTGTAAAAACTCAAACTTTAAGCTGACTACTTAGATTACTTAAACTGGGCACTTACTCAAGTCGGCAAACCTTTTGAAATTGATGGAGCAGTAACCTAACTCGTGGGACATTTAAGAAATTGGTCAGGTAGGCATATCAAAGAGGCGTAAGCAGCAGCATACTAAATGCTATGGTAACTAATTGCAAACACTGTAATAAAGATCCCTTGGGAAATTGTGGTGGGGGGGGGGAGAGAGGAGGGGGAGAAACAAAGTGGAAGGAAGTATATTGAAAAAACAAAAGGTGTCATGTGAAGGAGTAGCGCATTGAACACCAGAAGCATATGGGCAGTAGTAAGAGGAGGCACGTCAATAAGCGAGGCACCTTCCAACACTCAACGCAGCGCCATGGAAACGGAAGACGCAGGCTCACAGGGATTCGGGAAGTTAATGTTAGGCAGCCCGAAGTAGGGTAGGGGGGGAGAGCATGTTGAGACAATCTGCAAAATGTACGCATTAAACAGTAACACAGTTAAAAACATGAGCGTGACCGCCCACAACAATTCGAGGGTTGTTTCCTCAGCTAGCCGCATTCCACTTTTTTGCATATTGTCAGACCAACTGTACCGGCAGTCGTCCAGATTTGGAAATGTTACAAGTGTCCGACCCTGTGTGTAGACTTAAATTCTCTGTTAGGTCATGTAAGAATTAGGCTACAGCCCACGCGCAAACCAACTGACTAAGCAAGCTCAGGTGGTACTAGCGTTTTTGCAAAGCACAAGATGAGTCCAGAGGAAGAGACATTGGCGTCAACGTTATTGTATATGATTACTGAGAAGCAAAAGACTGGACCTGTGAAACGAGGATTTCTTCTCTCTGGTGCTTCGGAATCATACCTACCCTCGTGATCAGAGACAGCAAGCGATATAAACAGTGGACGCACACGTGATGAGGCATTTATGGAATGCATTCATCGTGCAACCAAATCAGTAATAATAATAATAATAAGAAGAAGATGGGCTCACCGGAATAGGTTTATTTAGTTGCTGACGTTTCGAAGAGCTTGGTTGGCTCTCCATTGTCAAAGCGTAAAATGCACCTAATCGACCAGAGATCACAAGTGGAGTGTCACGTTGGTCGGCCTCGGGCTGATCGATTTTCCTCTCCTCTCACTGCCTCGGCCTATCAGGGGATGGTTGACGGGTGTTTTGTCTGCGTGCTTTGTGAGTCACCGCTCCGTCGGGGGGAGGTAACTGAAACAGTGTCGGGTGGTCGGTCTGGCGGTTCTTGTTCTTCGCCGAGGTGTAATTCTCCGATGCCCAATCCATCAACAGGCATCTGGACCTTCCTGCAGCTTACAAAGTCTTACGTCATCACAATCGTAGAGTTCAGGACCAAAAAACCACACCGGACTTAAGAAGGCCATACGGAAACAGCCCGAAAGGCGATTTTACTCGGTGAAGAGGAACAATAACAGCCTGGCCGACCACCCGACACTGGTTCAGTTACCTCCCCCCGACGGAGTGGACGTCTCACGGAGCACGCAGACAAAACGCCCGTCAACCATTCCCCAAGAGGCCGAGGCAGCGAGAGGAGAGAAAAAATCGATCAGCACTAGGTCGACCAACGTGACGCTTCACTTGTGATCTCTGGTCGATTAGGTGCATTTTACGCTTTGACAATGGAGAGCCGACCAAGCTCTTCGAAACGTCAGCATTTAGATAAACCTGTTCCAGGGGAACCCTTCTTCATCTTCTTCGTCTTCTTCTTCTTCTTCTTCTTCTTCTTCTTCTTCTCCTTCTTCTTCTTCTTCTTCACATAGTCAACTTCGGATCTCTCAACTTTGCCAACCTGAATAAATAAGCAATCCCATATTCATCACAGATGGTCGCACGTGGTGCGATGGGTACTTGATCGCCCCCCACCCTTAGTCGTCACTCGCCGCGACTTCATGACCGGTGTTTGGCGATCGGTATAAGAATTACTCGGCAGTTTGGCTCACTAATACTCTCACCGGAAACAGTGTCCCTCCACACTGATGATTGATGAGATAATGATACACCGACACTGTATGCGTGGTTGATTACTCTGTCGAGAGAGAGAGAGTCTTAGCATTGAAAAGGAAAGAGTGAGAGAGAGGTCATTGCGCCTGTTGATGAACTGCAGACCGGTGAACCATGCCTCAATTGTCGTCTTTTGCATGAATATAGACCTCGCCGGAATGAGTCAGGTCGGGTTACGTCACATGAGCTGTAACATGGGAGTCGACAGCATTCTTCCTCATAGGCGCGTACTGCAGTAGGTGGGCTAACTCATGAAATGTTAACCGAAATTCCGAAATGCGTTTTCGTTTCGAAAAGATTACTTAAGTAGGGTTGTAAAACTAGTCAGCATGCAACATAATTCTATAATATTTCAATTACCTCAGGATGTCAGCTTTCGAAAGAGACTCCTTACGGCTACATGTTGAAACTACACTCTGTAAAAAATGACTACTTAAATACCATGCATTTTTCTCATTGTGTTCGATGCCATTAAAAGTCCGATCATATTTCATGGAAAAAATGCATAAAAATGCTCATTGTTTTATTAATTCGGTAGATGGTTGCCTGTTCGGGACCTCTATCATCCATACGAAGCTTGTTTGCTTCGGGAAGCCAATGGATTAGTGTGCGCCCAGTCCTGAGTGAATATACATAAATACATACATATATAATAACGTGGTTTTACCGACAAAGACAAGGGAGACTGGAATGACTGCCTCTGACTCATTAGTCGTCGTCAGTCAGTCATACCTAAGCCTGAAGTGTGGAAAACCTGAGGCTCGAACTCGCGACCTGTTAGTAAGAAGTCCACGACTTTAACTACTGGGCCGTAAGAATGATCGGTGAGCGCCACTCTACCAGAATATAATATGTATAAATATAGTACATGTTCGTGAAGACACGTACAGTTCGTGACCTATCTCATGAAATGTTGGCTGAAATTCTGAAATGCGTTTTCGAATAGGAAGGATTACTTGGTCGCGGTTGTGAGACTGATTATCTTAAGGCATACTCTTATAACATTTTGGACTCGGCAGGATGTCGGCTTTAAAATGCACTGTTTTTCAATCTCCTGTAGAAAGCGTGCTCGGTAAAAAATGACTACTTAAGTAGCATGCATTTTTCCCATTGATTTTCGATGGTCCTGGAAATTCAAATAGATTTTATAGAAACCACAAACAAAATGTTCTTTTTTTAGTCACTCAATAGAAAATCCCGTCTTTTTTATATTTTATACTTAAGGAAGGAGTATAATTAGGTTTTAAAAAAGTTTCCTAGTTGCCGAAAAATGTGGAGCCTGATCACTCGTTGCATTAGCGCTTAGTGATTACACTCTACAAGGTGCATGCGTTTTGCGTAAAGAAAATCCCATATTTTTCTGTCATTAAAGAGGTATCATACAGGATTCATTAAATTTTGCAATGGATGCGGACCATGTTGCACATTTTATGAGGAGCAGTGGTAAACGGCCAGGTACGATGCTATGTGTATGGAAATATCGCGGTCATAAAAAGTCTCACAATTAGAAACTTTTTTAAAACCTAATTATACTCCTTCCTAAAGTATAAAATTCAAAGAAGACCTGATTCTCTATTGATTGACTAAACGGAAGCACATTTTTAATTGTGGTTTCTATAAAATATATTTCAATTTCCAAGACCATCGAAAGTCAATGGGAAAAATGCATGCTAATTAAGTAGTCATTTTTTACCAAGTGCGCTTTCTACAGGAGATTGAAAAAAAGTGCATTTTAAAGCAGACATCCTGCCGAGTATAAAATGTTATAAGAGTATGCCTTATGATAATCACTATCACAACCGCGACCAAGTAATCCTACCTAATCGAAAACACATTTCAGAATTTCAGCCAACATTTCATGAGATAGGTCACGCACTGTATGATAAAAACAGAAACGTCATAACGTTTGAAACAGCACTTTATGCAGCCCTCCATGAATTAGCGTAATGTGCAATATGGCAGGTAGTCCACTACACAGTGGTTGTTTGGTTGCTTCAAAAAACGTTAACAGCATTCCAGAAAATATTTTCGTTTATGCATTTGTTGCAATGCAGTCAAGAAAATTATAAACGTTTTTATTGAGAAGTAGACGTTGTTGAAATAACAGCTTTGATTAGGTCATATGATGAGAGGCCGGTCAGATATTATGACACTGAAATATAATCAGAAATTGCAATCAGAATCATTGCCGTCCCGGTAAAATTTCTGCCTTCCATCCGGCGGTGGTGGGATGCGCCGAGTTTTAGGACGTCCTTGAAATGTAAATGAAGACATTGCGATATTAAGTGCTCTCGAGCTACTAACTTAATATACATTCTGCAGTTTGCGTAAATAAAAACCTTTAAAATAACATAGTTATTGGAAGAAGTCATCTAAGTAGTAAGATCTTGATCGTCATTATTGTAAACTCACCTAAACATGCATCGTGAACGTCGTGGAAAGTTGACATTCGAAACCTTGACTTGTGATAAAAAGCAGTCTGTATTAAATTAAAAAAAACCAAGTTTACAAGAAATGTGTTTAAAAAGTACTGTCTGGGGTACGTCTTTGATGGAAATCCTCGCATTTTTTCCAAATGAAAGATAGACAAAAAATGAAAAATTGGAAACAAATGATTTTTTGCAGCAAGCGAAAAACTCTCTTTTTTCTTCAGTTGGAACCATTTCGTCACATTTGCCCTTTTTAGGCTCCGTTCAACGATTCTAAATTCACCACAATGGGGACATTGATGAAATGGAAAAAATTCTCAAACAGGGAAAATGGTTACCGTTCTCTTTTCAAATCACACAGTAGCAAAAACTGGGACCCAAATGATATCTCATATTATGCGCAAACGCCAAAATAACCCCTCTGCGGTGGGCCTTTTCGCCGCAACCTATGGCATGTTTGCATATGCCCGGATATTATGGGTCTGTGCAAACAAACTATAGCCAATAACCCCCCGTAACGCTCTGAAGGGCGAAATTACGTAGATTTGCAAATTAAACCTTTCAAGCAGCCAAACCTACTGCTTTTTGTTTAATTATTAACGACTTATCCACGCCTTGCTACGCCTGATGTACGCGAAATAAAAAGATACTTTTCGTGTTGGCGACGATCGTTTTGGTAAGTTATTCTCGTTTAAATAAATGCCCTCTAGAGTTGCGCAAATTCGCATGGCAGTATTCAGAGGACAACGTGACGAGCATACGTTTGCTTTCGACAAATTTCCTTTAAGCCGGTACATTTATATGGGAAAGGGGTCAAGTAAAACCCGTACACACCCCGCCTGGGTTTTACGACCAACTTTAATCGAGTTCTCTAATTACTGACATGTTTACTTTGACACCGTTCCCATATGAATATACTGGCCTGACGGGAAATGACCTCTACTCGAGATAGAGCTACAAAATGTGAAACCGCCCTCCGTGATTGCTATTACCATAGGGAGTTGCCTGAATGCAAGGGTGCATTGATTTACGTCCAAGCATATAACCGTTTCGTGGATAGAATAAACAACAAATATGGATCTTAAGAGATAATAACCTTACCGGAAGGCGCTTAACCAATAGGGAGGGTGCACAACAAACATGTTATTTCTAGGAGGTCATATATATATATATATTCTAGTCATTAGGGTTCGCAGGCCTGTGTAGAGAATTCTTAACATTGTTTAGAAATATATTCAGATGCACAGAAACCTTCCAATTATAATAAGTTGGCGTCTAGTTCAAGTAAACTGCGGAAAAGAGTTTCAAGATGGGAGGCGGGCATCCATCCAAGCAGGAAATTCTTGCTTCGACATTGTTATAAATCGTCAATCTATGGTAGGCACCCCGTTATCATCTGTAGCTCACCGAAGATGAGTTCTGCTTAGCGGCCACACCTCCGTAACCGCCTCGACCGGCGGACTAAACCAAATGGGGTATCCAATGCTGTGTGTTACCACGCTCGGCAACTCCGTTCCCATTCCCATCCCTACCCTCCCTCCCTTCTTTTTCCCCGCCTACTTTCCTTTCTCCCCCTTCCCGCCCATTCTCTCCTGCTCCCTTTCTCTTTAAAGGGTCCTACGGACTGGGCGACATTCGACCCCGTATGCTGCCCAGGCTAACTCGGGTCGTTCTCCCACCAAATCAAGCCCTGACCCATTGTAGAATTCAGCGGCCGTCTGGGACGTCTCAGCAGCCGCATTTAAGAGCAGTAGTTATTGCCCCCAAGCTGGAGATGGGGCTAGAAATGTGACCCAAGCAGATGCTTGAATCAGATCATCTTCCCACAGACCGGGGCTCGCGGGTACACAACTCACGGTCGAAACAGTCAATAAAATAACGTGTCTATCCACGCCCGGCCCCGCCCCAAGTTTTAACATAACCTAACGAGAGAAAACATGTTCAAAAATTCCTACATTGAACGGCACAGGAAACTTTCTAATGTTTTGCATAACGTAGCTTAACGATACAAATTGGTACCAATTAATTGCGTACTCGAGGATGCAATACGGCAGTTGTCTTGGTGAAGTTTGCAACTACAGTTGGTGGGCTGAATCATGAAATATCAATCGAAATTTCTCGTTCGAAAAGATTAATTAAGTAGGGTTGCAACACTAATCAACATGCAGCATAATTCTATAATGATCCGGTTACATCACGATATCGTCTTTCGAATGAACGTTTTTCCGACCGCATGCAAAAACTACACTCTGCAAAAAATGACTACTTAAGCAACATGCAATTTTATCATTGATTTTCGATGCTCTCAAAAATTCAATTGCATTTCATGGAAAACATGCATGAAAATATTTATTCTTTTAATAATTGTCAGAAAATCGCATCTTCTTCCAATTTTATACTCAAAAGAAAAGTATAATGCGATTTCAAAAAAGGTTCTGCTCATGAGATTTCTTAATACCGTGAAATGACGGTTCATAAAACGTCACGTATCCGCATTTGCAAATGTGGCTTGTAAAGTTAACAATATTGCTCAAATCTACTGCTTAATTTTATGAACCCCACATGGTCTTCTCTTAATACCGTAGTGAAATGCGTATTTTTCCGTACACCGAAAATATACGGCCCGTTGTTTTGAAATCCTCGATGCAGGTGCAACAGCAGGTCGGGTTCAAAATTATTCCAGAAGTAGAACTGTTTTTTAAAATCAAATTATACTCTTTTTGGAGTATAAAATTGAAAGAAGATGCGATTTTCTGGCAAATATTAAAAAATGAATATTTTCATGCATGTTTTTTATAAAATATACTTGAATTTTTAGGAGCATCGAAAATCAATGATAAAATTGCATCTTGCTTAAGTAGTCATTTTTTGCAGAGTGTCGTTCTTGCATGCAGTCGGAAATAAGTTCAGTCGAAAGATGACATCTTGATGTACCTTGATAATTATAGAATTATGCTGCAAGTTGATTAGTTATGCAACCCTACTTAATTAAGCCGTTTGAAACGAAAATGCATTTCGGAATTTCGGCCGACATTTCCTGTGTTAGCTCACCTACTGTAGTTATTTTGTCCAAATCTATTCACGCGATATGGGCTGTAGGTCAGGATGATGACTATAACTCCAGTGCAGATGCAGGGAGCATAAATGCCCACGGACCGCTCAGTCAACCGTCGCATGAACTTTCCTCCTCCTTCTTGGTTTTACGAACCTTCTTGACAGGAGATATGGGACGCGCCAAATACCCCCGCAGTCACCGAGGGCGGGGCGACATAGGTCACGGTGAAACGCGGGCTCCGATTCACCTCCACAGTCGACAGTTCGACCGCCGTTGCTGACGATGTCCACCGTGTGCTCCACAGCAAGGCAAGGCAGGGATGGTGACTTGTGCGTGAACAAGTTTATAGTAAATGTAGACTTGCACAGCATCTACCATGCTCTCTTCTCCTCCCCCACCTGAACCCAGTGTCAAGACATAGTCTAGAAAACTGGAAACGGGGAGGGCGCAGGTGGATGACACGGTCGAGCCCGCACCTTGGCGTTCTACTCCACGCCCCCTGATCCACACAGCAAATGACCAGGATTTTAACTAACAACGATAGGATGGTTGGCGCGGCCGGAGCCGCACCTCGGCGTGCCGCCCACATCCGGCTCGGATCCCACGTAGCGGGAGGGCCATAAGGCCACATGAAGAAGGAGCCATTGCAGCCGGACTTTCAGACCACCAGCGGCCACTCCAGACAAACACACACAACACTGAGCCGACTGCGAGGTCCAAATTATCTCGCCAGCTGACAACCTTCCAAGCCACGGCTTTAAGCGCACCGTGATAGCTTCAAGCACTTCAGAGTGTTTATAGCGACGAAAATGCGCGGAGTCGTCGACCTCACTCTCCCTTCCCATTATCAGGCCCCAGTCACTGTCCGAGCCGGTCAGTTGACAGGTGCTGGGAAGGGACGCGGTGGCCGACATATATAGTGACCTTATCTGGGCGCGCCACATGCACGACCTGGCTCCCCATGCACAAGCATCAGGATCTCACACAACGGGGGTTGAACGGCGTACATTTCACATGCGTGAGAGTGCCATAGGTCACGTTAACAAGGAGTCACTTCAGCCTGACTCTCGGCCCACCAGTCCGCCAATCCACATATACATACACAACTAGGAAGACTGTGTGGACTGAGTTGGGGCGTCAGTCAGCAGCCTTCCAAGCCACGGCGCTTGACGCACCCTGACAGTATGCGACTCGAATCACACACGCAGCAGGGATGTGTTGTGTTCAGAGTCCTGAGTTACTCATTCATCCATGACCTAGTCACCACCCTGGCCTTGCCAAAGTTCACTGCCCTCTGAGACACCAGCTCGGTTTTGTGTCTACTTCTGCCTACTGAGGACTGACCCGACGATTGTGCCGCTGAATGTATGTCCAACTTGTTGAGCTGCTTAGCATTCAAGTGTAACCAGTGGTGCGCGATGTTGACCGAGTGCAATTGGAAAGTTGACAGACTGGTGAGATGGGAAAAAGTATGCAAAAAACCTGAGTCGATCAAACATGACACAGACTTCTAGTCTTGAACCCAGTTATTTTTGCATTGAGGCAAAATTCTATAGCCAGTTTACTCAGTTAGTAAAGTGCAGACGTTTTAGTGCATTTGAAACAAAGCTGTAGACTTTCTGCTCCTTTTGACTTAGTAACCAACGTAAGTCAGCTGCATATTCGTTAAACCCCTTAGCAGAATGTACTGCTGCCTAAATCCTTTGTTTTCGAGACAGCCTTCAAATAACCCATATATCCTGGCTAAACATTTAAAACCTCGGCAATTTTTTTTAACTAAACGCACACTGAAACTCCCGGCATATCGTCCGATATACAATTCAAGTCATAACTTCCGGCTAAAACACTTAAGGACAGGTTAAACGAGGCCATTTTCCTGGATAGCCTATTACATACTTCTGATGACACTTTTTTGCCGGCCAGTTTGGCGTTCATTTAATCCAAAGTCAAAACCTAATCACCTTCATTTAAATGGCATGCAATTTATTAGACGAGGTTCAGAGATCGTGGACAGTCAAGAACGTTACTCGAGCGGCTTAACAGACGGCTTCATTTCGAAAGCTGTCTTGCAAAGATTGATTGATTTGTGTGAGAATCTGGAACCCCAGGCCAATGAAGTTCTTGCTTCAGTGATCGCATCTTCATCCTCTGAGTTGCTTCCTGGAACTCGTCTGTTTGCTTCCATCAGGACATACTGTACAATTAGGCTAATCCCTGGGGCTTGTATAGCTTGCGAATAATAACTCCAAAAACTGTGGTAAGCGTATCCGAAAAATTAAATAAAAAGTGGATAAGTCGTTTTAAGTGTACGCAGAACTATCGTAGGTATACCACAAACCTGTTGCTGCTCGCTCTGTTTGTTTCTTATAATCCCTGTCGGACACATCAGCAGGCATGCTCTACAAACCTGGTGACGGATTAAAAAGCGGAAATGGCCATCCCAATCTCCCCTGACGAGGGCTTCCAGCGAGAATCCAGAACAAGATGGCAATAAATTTCTTGGTTAAGCAACCGCATCCTCTTCTTCTGAATTGCCTCCTGGGACTACCCAATTTGTTTCTATCTGCAATCTCCCCTGACTTGCGGGTAATCGTCTTTTGCATATAAGAAAGATCGCAGTGTGACTGTTTCTGGGGGCTCTAGATAGAGCTCAGTGCATAACGGCAAAATCGTGTCCCGTAATCCGATCGACGGACGCAGTTCCAACATCTCTCACGGAGGGGGAGAGAAAAAAGGGATCTGCCTTTATTCGATGCGTAGCTCCTACGTGGTAGTGGTGTAAAACACCTCAAATCCACTGAACCATCCGAACCAAAGTGGGGAGGTTTCTTGTGCATATACCGGTTCCGATCGTCTCGAAAGTGGAACTTCGCGGTTGAATGCACAGCTGTTTTATTTTTGTCATTAAAAGAGTCTTTCCGGTCCGCCGTCATCACATCGCCCGAACTCTGTCCCACTCCGCTCATAATTCGGAGTATTGCTAGTCGATACATTTTTTCCCCACACCTCGTCTTCTTGTGCTCGCCGAAAACGTTTTGGGAAGAAATTCTCCAAAAGTCTAAAATTGAGAAATGGTCACATTCGCTAGCAAAAGAAAAAGGTTTTACGGTAATGAGAAGTATGCAGATCTTGGTAATGCGATCGAGCCTGGATGAGGTGAGGGACTGGGGCACCATATTCGTGGCCTTCTTCCTATGCTCACCGTTTCAGTTTGAGTTTCTCTGCTGCTTTATTTCGCGATGTTTCGCAATTTTTAGGACTTGCGCGCTCTCTCTGCGTGTAACTGTTGTGCTCAGCAGGCGTTGGAACACCTCAGAGGGTGGAAGAGGGGTTGTTATGTTTGTTTATCGGCTGTGAGCTGCAGGAACAAAAAATGGATGTGCTGACTCATGAGAAGTTAACTGCAATTCCGAAATGACTTTTCGTCTCGAAAAGTTTTTACAGTTAATCACCATACAGTATAGTCCTAAAATAATCCAGTTGCATCGTGATGTTGGCTTTCGAACGCACATATTTACGGGCGCATGCAAAGCCCCACTCTGTAAAAAAGGCTGCATATGTAGCATGCATTTTTGTCATTGTTTTCTGACGCCCTTATAAATTCAATTATATTTCACGGAACTTACATCAAAATATTCATTATTTTACTCATTCGATAGAAAATTACGTCTTCTTCCAAGTTTTTACTCGAAGCAAGGTATACTTCGGTTTTCAAAAACTTTTCTAATTCTCGAATAATTTTGAACCCGACCTGCCCTGACACTTGCATTCAAGGTTAATAAAATACAAACCATGTATTTTCTGCGTACGAAAAACCATATAATTTTTACGGTATTAAGAGGACACTATGTTAACGTAACAAGTAACATTAGCAAGTGCAGAGACACAATGTTTAATGAACGGGCATTTTACGGTATTAAAAAAATCTCATAAAAAGAAACCTTTTTTAAAACCAAATTATACCCATCCTTCAAGTTTAAAACTAGAATAAAGCGTAATGTTCTGCCGAATGAGTAGAAAAATGATTATTTTATGCATGATTCCCATGAGATATACTTGGATTTTTGAAGGCATCGAAAATCAATGAGAAAAATCCATGCTACTTATGTAGTCATTTTTTACAGGAAGTGGTTTGTGCATGCGGCCGGAAAGATGTTCGTCCGAAAGCCGGCACCCGAGATAACTGAGTTGTTGAAGAATTATGCTAAAGGATCAATAACTTTAAACCTCTACTTAAGTAATATTTTCGAGACGAAAACACATTTCGGAATTTTGGTTAACGCACCCGCTTCTTGTCTGCCTAGTTCACGGTTATCGTTGTCGAAGTCTCTTGATGCAAGTTGTCAACAATTAACTCCAATTCATTCTTAAAAAACACCTATTAAGGAATTGATGAAGTCGGCTGTTCGCAGCTTACCGAACTATTAGATCAAACTTTCGTGTTGCATACAGCATTCGCATCTCATCGGTACTAATGCGTATGTATTTTGGGTCAGTAATAGTCAAGACCAAACGCCCAACAGGGACTGAAGCTGAAAGAAAAAAGCGTTTTTCCAAGAGCTGATAACAATTTAAAGTGCAAAGGATGCCTCGGAACAACACGAGCGGGGAAAACAAAACGATGTTTATCTACCAACTGTTGAGTAAGGCATATTATGAAGAGACCTTATTTACTCCAGCTAGGTGTGGGCGCGTCTTCAATTAGTTGAAATAAACAGATAAGAAAATCTTGTTTCTGCTAGACATGCAATAAATTTTCCTGATAAAAATCAAGTAAATGGCCGTTTTGCGCGGACAGAGAAAACGAAAGAGAGATTTTGAGAGGAAGAGCGCGTAACTTCCACGATTGCAGCCAGTTTCCCGTGGAAAGTACACGCGAGCTCTAAATCGTTTGCGTCGACGGCCTGATTAGTTCGTTCCAACGCCTACGCTGTAAAAGGAGGGAAACGAAATTCGTTCCGTCATACGTTCGGTAATCCGCCGGATGGCGTTTCAAGTAATCTTCTAGCCACAGGCAATTTATCTTGCGACATAATCCAAAAATATTTCAATTACGTGCGCGTGTTGGCATTTGGGGACGCGTCGTTCGGTGACCTGTGAAAATCAGACCAGATGTAGGGAGCCCATAGCATAGGCGTTAAGCATCTGATACATTGACCATCACCTTCATTATAACTCCAAGTATACTTAAAGTTATACAAACACAAAACGGTTGTTCTCTTGCCTGTTTTATAGCAAACCACGCCGACATAAAACTGTCTGCTTGAAGACGACGCAGTGTGCGACCCCATCCAGAAGGCGAAGGATAAGCCATCGTGTCTTACGAGACGGATGGAAGTGGGGGTTATATGGGTGGGGCTAATGGATGGGAAAAAAGAATGGAGCATTGGAAAAATGTAATAACCCCGTGAATATGTTCAAATGTACCTCTGCATGATCTTGAAGGAGACCAGGAAAATTGAATATTAGCGAAATTTAACATCAAACCAAAGGAAGCTAAATACAGCGGCCGTATAATAAGACGCCAAGTTCGGAGACCAAGGCGCCGAAATAGCCAATAGAAACCCAAGAACGAATGGCGTTGACGAATCTCGTAAGAGTAAAGTGGGAACGTTGACCAAACGGCACGACATGATGATGCTGAACAGCGGAACAGAGGGAAGCCAACAAGGTGACCAGCAAAGGTCAAGTATGTCAAATTAGCATGTCTACCAACTGAAACACAAGGTAAGTGGGAAATTTGAGCGAAAGTCTATGTTGTCTTGACACAAGGCGATCAACGTACCTAAATCAGAAAACACTACTTTCATAAGTATAAGTAGGTAGTAATAGGTAATGTGCAGAGTGGGGTCGCATACTGCGTTCTTTCCGGGATATTCTGCACTAATAAAGATTTTCTAATTCGAGATATATT